CGCTGTTGAATAGTTGAAATTCGCAGCGTGCGCGTTAACTAAAAACGGACTGCGGGTCTCTGTGTCCAGTCGGAGCCCTCTGTCTTTCATTGGTCAATAGCAGCGATTGGGATGTCCGAGTAGAAATTATCGATCCATTACTGCGTGCTTTGCGCCTCTGAAGGTTTCTCTCCTGCAGCGTAATGCTGCCATAGGCGCCAGCGTGAATGCCGCCACCAGTGTAAGCGTTAGAACCCGCTGCTTCTCATCTACACATGGTTCCCTTTAGCGGAAGATGGCGCATTTTTTGAAATTTCGCTTACCGTTTTCATATTGGTCTCGAAAGTCCACATATATATACTACGTGCAGTTACGGCGAATAAACAATGGATAGCACCCAGTCGACGCTGCGTCCATGTCTATTTTCACGTCCAAACTCTAAGAAAAAGAAATAGTTCTCCGTCTCATCTTTGGTAGTCCTTACATGCCACGCGTCTGACTATTTTAACAGACCCGTGAAGCCTATTAGGAGATCGTCATAATGAGGAGTCGTGGAGTCATGCGGCCCAAAAGAGAGTTAGCGTAGCTCTTTAAAAAAATAGTCCTATTCGAGGCGAAGCAAGGACTTCTCGAAAATAGTAACGCACACTCGCTCTTTCTTTTTTTAGAGTGCACTTGTTCACACTGTTTCAAAACCCCGAGCCTAAGTTGACTTTAACTGGGTATACTGACCCCATAACTTGGCCTTCTCTCTACGACAGGTGCCACAGGTGCTTAGCACAACGGAACGGCATTAACTTTTTCAGTGGTGTCGCAAGCGGCGAACAAGTGTTACGTTTCTTCAATGAGGGTTTGAGATATAGACATAATTTCATCACAAAACAGCTCCGTTTCTCAGGTTCTCGCTGACGTCACCCAATCCCACGTTTGATACGTAATCCACCATGAATGCTTTCCGAACGAGAGTATACATCCATTCACGAGAGCCACGATCGTTTCAGCGCTTGCGGGCGTTAGAGAGGCGTGTTTATTGTTGGCATAAAAGACGACTTATACGGCAAGTGCTATTGCGGTAAGGCAATCGCACAACGGAAACACCATACAAGACACGATCGAATGAAAGTGCGCTAAATCGTAGGCCTGCTCAGAGGGGTATTGCCGTCAGGCAATAACAGGTGGGGGGGAAAGCGTATAATCGATTGTAAGATCAACAAACATTCGGTAATGGTGATTGCACCCTATGGGGTCGAATCCAAGACGGTCGCGACGGATGAATTGTTTGGCTAATGGCTCTTGAAGTCCGTATGTAGTGATGAATGCGCTATGAGGGAAACGACCTAAGCTCGCTGACCCGACGCGGAAACAACATTACACGGTGTTTTTTTTTTCTTGTATTTGTCAATGTTTCTTTTTTGTTACGCAAGCAAGTACAGTTATCAGCGACATCTTGACTCACGGTGAATGCAGGTTGTGACTCACGGGATGTAATATGATTTTTTTTATGTCACTAAAGACAACCCATCAGGGCGATGGTCGTACAGCAGGCAAAGACAGGCAAATTATGTATTCGTGTTATGCCAAAAAAGTATATATATTGTTTTCTTGCAATGCAAAAAACACATCTTAGGTGGCAAAAAAATTCAGATAACAATGATATGCACGAATAATGGTGGCTCAACATGTATTTCGTGAAACTGAGCATAAAAAACACAAGAAAGTGAAGGGCCAGCTTAAGTTAATCAGCATACCTAATCAGTCTAAGCACCAACTAGACCAAAAAGAAGGCCATTTATGGCAGTTTCCTGCGCTACAGGACAACAGCTAGGAATGGGAGAAAGCCATCACAAGCCTAAACCTGGAAGACTAGTCCAAGGTTTTCCAGAGGACACATGAAGAAAGAACAGGCAAGGCCTCCTGACTCCAACAAGGCATTAGCCGGCAGCAAACCCGGGTCTTTCGTAGGACAGCTCTGGATGGCTTCTCAGCACCTGGAAGACCAGCGAAACCTCATGCCAGGGCCAAGAAGGGCAGTCGAATGCAGAGTACTCATGGACAAGGGGCCCTCCCGACTGCGGGTGATACCGAGCATGGCTCGCAACACCAGTTTACAGAATAAATGTTTATTTCTCCGTCTGTCTCTATTTGCCAGTAGGCCGATTGAGGTGATTTATGGCCAGTGACCAGTGATGATGAGCCGTATTCCACAAAGTAAAAAAAACAACAGAAGAGCTTGATGAAAAGTAGGGGGGATGTGATTCATATTTTGCCATCCGACATCCAGCAAATGCCTCAACCAGGACAAAATTCAAATATCGGGACATTTCACAGCTTTCTAGGTAGCGGTATGCACAAAATTTGTCATGAAATCATGAATAATCCTATGCGAAAAAAGTTTTAGGCAACATTGGGAATAAATAGCGGGCATTGCTTTGAGTTTCGAGCAAATTCGAAGATATATTTTATCTTGCCAGCTGTTTCATCATAAGCAAGAGGTCAAAATGGAGCCCAATAAAAGTAATACTTAAGAAAACAGGGTTAGTTATTTCACGCGCAATCATATTTCAGTCAATCAGGAACATTCTTCTGCAAAGAGCGTACCTGGTAGTCACTTTAATGAAGTACAAGTTCACTAATATTTTATGGTGCTACGCATGCAAATAATCGGAGCACGGACATCTTCAGAGATATCATAAACTTTGTCTTTTTTTGCGCCGTCATGATTTTAAAACCAGGCCATTTAAATCTGTGGTACTAGAATATATGCCGATTGTGTTCCGAGGCACTTGAATTTTTGATTGACTACGACATTCACGCTTCGATGCACGAGATTCAACCACATAAATAGATCGCATAGTACGGGTAAGGCTATCCATCCAGCAAACAAAAAAAAACAGAAAAAATAAGTACGGACAGCTGACAGCTTCGAGGATATCACAGAATGGAGACAATTGTTTTGGTTGCGCTATTTCAGTTAGTGCTAGGTCATTTTTAAGAACGGAACTGTACAAGTTTTTTTTTTCTCTTGGAGATGTACAGCGCTCCTGACACTTTGGTCTGTGGCTTCCTTACGTAATGACGCCTATTGTCTAGTCTAGAAAGAGGAGGATAACAAAACGGTCCTCCATCAATTGCAAAAATCTTGGGTCCACGACCAAAAGGAAAGCTACAAGCGACTGCAGCACGTGCAGTCGTTCACTTTCTGGAGGAATCAGAAATAGCTCAGAAGTACTAAACAAAAACCAAATGTTTTCACTGTTAACCGCGGTATGTTTCAAAACAGTATTTTCGTGTTTCACTGCGATATTTTCAGGAAAACCTTTCTGAAAACATTTCTGAAATCATTTCAGTATTTAAGCGACAAGATCACCTACGACATTTTATTGAACTTTCACGTTTTTGTGTGAACACCTAAATTAGCTTGATTATTCGTGTTTTTTTTACAAACTCAGTGTGGTGCGGACACAGTTCTATGCGGTGTGGACCCATTTCTGTGTGGTGTGGACACTCAGTGTTGAAAAACGTGAACTCATTGTGTAAGTGTTGTGCTATGTACATATGTATAGCCTTGTGTTTGCTACAAAATGTGCGATGTTGACTTTTGTGCAAGAGAAGAAAAGTAGCCGGGGCCACGCATTGGCAGCAATCTCATCTTTCATACATTTAAGAAAAAAAAAACAGTTAATTCATGCATTTGCATGTATGAACCCGAGCAAGTGGCTTGAAGGCGGAATTAAATTGTATGATTGCTTCGTTATGAATCGTTGTGAGCGTCACTGAATGAAGTAACGGGCGCTCAAAGTTCGAACATAGCTGCTGTGACGATCTCAAATCATGAGATGTGGGTCACCGCTGAGCTTCAACTAATGCCGCAATCTTGCAATCATTTACGTGATGGCGTGGAAAGCTGTAGGAACACCCCTGAAGAAATCGCAAAGGTTGTTGCAGCAATCGCCGATTTCTAATTAGAAAAAAAAATCGTTGTGGTTAGAGTTCCACCGTTAGCCTAGAAGGGTGGGGGCTTGCACCAGTTGGCACTCAATGATGTCCTTGGGCAAAGACCGAAGACAATGTGGATGAAGCGCCTTCATTTCTTTTTCTTTCACCGTTGTCCTGGTCGCTTGTTTCTTCACACATTTTCTTTGTTGGCCAACTACAAGTCAACTACATGTAGCAGGTGTGGAGAGAAGGGGGGCGTGACCTAGCTGTTTTGATTATGGAAGCTCGAGCCGGCGATGATATTTTTATCACCTAATCACTATTGCATCGTTGTTTCCAGTACCAACCTGCAAAAACTATGAATTCACGATGCTTTCGAGCTTCACAGAATTTCTAGATAACGTTAGGCAAGTGTCGCACGACCTCAATGCACGAAATCGATTGATTGATTGATATGTGTGGTGTAACATCCCAAAACCACCGTATGATTATGAGAGACGCCGTAGTGGAGGGCTCCGGGAGCAATGCACGAAATCGGGAAACACGGTGAGAAAACAAATCTACACTTACCATGACAGCCAAATCAATGATGAACGCAGAGGCATTATATGGTAGGTTGTAAAAATCAAAGCACATTTCAAGATTGTAGACGCCTTTAGTTTGGTTTAACTGGGACACACACAACGTAAATGCCCCAGTCACAGCAACAAAAATACTTTTCCACAACGTGAAATGAAACTTAGGCAAAGCCGACTGTACAGCTTAGAAAGAATGGAATGAGTGAATAGTGTCCAAAGTGGGCTGCCTAAAGTTACGTTGCGCACGGATTGACAGCAACCTAAAATAACCCATCGATGTGGTCGCACTACATAGCACTAACACTTCCGTAAGGTAAATCGTAGGAGCTTGTATCAGTAATGACATGCTACAGAAGAGATGAAGCCGAATTCGGGCGTACAATAGAGGCCCACCGTGAATATATTGAAATATGTTGTGCCCAGTTTTTGAAACAACGTTTTCATTGCAGCTGATTTTCTACTAGAACTATTCTGAAAGAAAAAAACAAACGATAGAAAAGTAGGCAATATTGTTTCAGCTTTTATTTTGCAGGTAATTGTAACCACAGAAATTATTAATGTAAAAAATAGCATAAATCATAAGCACGTTACAAAAGACCCATTTAAGTAGACGACGATAAAAAGATCCGTACATATAAAACTAAAAGTACGAACACTGCATTGTACCGGTGCATTGACATCTTAGTATAAATGTGAGTGCAGATATAGCCTTCTTTATATACATAGCCACGAAAACATATATATCGTGTTAAATATTTCCTCCCGTGCCATAGTGCTATCACAAGAAGTATCGGTGTCGACTGTGCATTTTGAACTGTGTAGAAAGATCATGTGCTCTTCCCTACGAGCGCCATAAGGGTACGTCGTCAGGTTCCAGTGTGATTTGCGCGCGAGTACCTGCAGAAAAGAAAGATAAAAGGTGCCGCGGTTAGAACAGATTTGCCCAACAGTCATATCAACTCTCGAAACTTACATGTCTAATAATCAGGCTAGAATTTGAAACGACTTAGTGAAGAGAAATGTCGACCACCTGGCATTTTTTAAGATGCACCTTAATCTAAGCACATGGGCCTCTAGCAGTTCGGGTTTCATCGAAATGTGGCCTCTGCGGTTGGGATGTAATTCCGCTACTCGCGGGTCAGCAATAGAACTCTATAATCACAAGACCGCCGTAGTGGGCCGAGATTTAAGCAGAGGACAGGAACAGAAACAACCATGCAGGACTGACACACTGTGGAATTGGGCGGCTGCAAGGTGTTCCCGTCCATACCCCCCCGGATTCCCTTGACGACGTAATCATTCCCGTCAACCAATCGGCGCCCCGATTCATATTCACCCGTTTGCTCTTCCACAGTGTAAGGTAACCGTCATCACTGAGCTGGACACCTAAAGTATTCGTACACCGTAAATGAAATGTCACTTTCAGCGTGAAAGTGTGACAGTATAGGACGTGTGCCATTCCGGCAATGTAGGAAGGCAGAATAAAACTACGTGGACAGCATTACACACGCTTTATGCTGTTCAGGGAAGCGTTTCAAAAGTTATGATTGAGTGTCCATAATTTCACCCCTCTAAATGCTGGTTAGATCATGGACGTTAAAAAAATGGATAGAGTGCAAATCGTTGCCCAGGAGTGAAACCGTGCCTATGGCAAGATGGCGGTGGCGGCCATCTTACAAGGGGCATGATAAAGTATCAGTAGTTAAGAACGGAGCATTTTCTTTGCACGCCCAAGATGAATGTGGAAACTTTTCGGATTGCATATTGCTCGAAAAGCGTCTTAGTGTTGTTAGTTTTCCTTAGTAAGCCTCTAATTGGAGGCAAAGTTATTTTGATATTCAGTCACCATGACTCGTTTCTGTGTGCTTTTTCATCGGAAACAACTGTCTTTTATATAGAACTAACGTAGCATTTACACTAACATATAACGGCCCCTTGATTTCTAAGTGGGCACTACCAGAAAAGAGCATGTTTTCGACATCTTGGCGTTGGCAAAAGCCGGCTTCACTTCTGCTGGCAAGGCATTTCGGGAACTTCCACTCCAGCAATTTTTCTTGAATACCCGTTGGGTTGGACGCGCTTTCATTGCTCACATTAAATATTCAATCGGCGTTAGGCACTTCCATGAGCATTGAACGCTTCAAGCCACCGTAAGGGATTCCTCGTGTTCTGACTCCATATACATTTTAGAGTGCGTTACTCTTCAGTGCGTTACCAGAAGTGGCGATCTCCATGTTAGGCTTACATACGCAGTATGTTGATTGACATGTCAACGTCAGTCATTTTACCACACGATGTCGCCCTGAGAGCTTGATTTAGTGAGCACTCACGCGTGGTATTACGCCCGTCTCGGTCAGCAGATGTCGATGAAACGGTATGGCCGACATGGTGTGTAGCAGCAGGTGTTGGCGAAATCCCGCACCAAATTGGGAGCTGAAATCAAGCTGGTCATCTGGTCTGTTAATCATTGAATACATGACAGCGCATTCACGTTATTCACTTATGTGACCTGCGAAAACTGATATACGAGTATGAGGGGATGTCGCTACACTTACGCAGCTTGATAGCGTGCTTCTCCATGGAGCGCCTCGTGCTCCTCACGACACCATCAATCATCTCATCAGAATCTGCAAGAAATTAACATCCTAAAATTGTGATCAACATGTGATTAGCAATTTCCCTTTGAGATAAATACTGTAACGTCAAATTTGGTAAACCCCACAGCCACTCACGTCAAGTCCTTACCATCAGGAAACATGCCATGCTAGAATGGCGTTTTGACATCACACCGTAAACAATAAGTCGAGGAGGTTGTATAATATTTAGCATAGGATACTTGTCACTATGGCAAAGCACGTTCATCTTGAGAACTACATGGCTACATGGCGACGTGTGCACTATACTTTTGGCGTCTCCAAGACATTTTTGCCCTATAGAGTTACACCACTACATTAGATGAAGTAGGTTTCTTGGCATCGCTGTGGGCATTTATATTATATCATGCATGAAAATGACTGAAATTGTGCGCTTGTAATCGGAAATACCGGCCAAAGATTTTAGGAAAATGTCGCAAGATGTCACAGGCAGTGGCAGTGCGCTCTGACAAATGCAAGCAAGAAAACTTGTGCTCAACGTTGTTCTGGCATCGATTCTGGTAAAGTTTCGTTAGGCCAGCGTCGAGGATGATTTAAAACTACTCCACTCTCCACTGGATGTGAAAAAAAGCTTCCAAGGTACAATGATTATTCCGAAAAAGTTTGACGACAGGCAGTACATTCACGCTTGAACTTTTAACAATTGTTTAAGTTAAATGCCCCAATACCACGATTATGAGAGACGTCGTAGAGGAGGCCTCAGAAAATTTAGACTACCTGGGGTTCTTTAACGTACACGTAAATCTAAGCACGAAGGCTTCAAGCATTTTCGTATCCACCGAAAGTGCCTCTGCCACAGCCGGTATTTGATCTCGCGACCCGCGGGTCAGCAGTCGAATACCTTAGACGCTAGACCACCATGGCGGGTTCAAGCGTGAACATTTAGGTTTTTTTTCCTTACCCTCCTCTCTGTACAATAGTATTGCACTGCTACTCACTTAATAAACAGCAGATGCGATTCCTCTGTCCCTGTGTTCTTCTTATTTGTTTGTACTTTAACCACCATTTTGCAAGCCAGGCAAAATAAACTATTGTAAAATAGAAATACCAATATAATATTTAGGTTTCTGCGTGCCAAAACCCCGATATCATTACAAGGCGCACCGCAATGGAGTGGCACTGGTGATTTCGGCCATCTGGCGCTTTTTAACGTGCACTAACATCGCAAATTACACGGGTCTGCAGCATATTTCCTCCATCTAAATGCTATTGTCGTGGCTGGGTGAAAAATGGTAACCTAACGTTCAACTTAGCATATGACCACTATGACCACCATGCTGTTTCAAAAATAGTACCTATGGCTCTCTCCCAGCGCAGGGTAGCAAACCTGACGTTCGTCTGGTTAACGTCTCAGCTTTTCTGTGCTTCTCTTTTTCTTAAATCTAAGTGTATTTTCTTTGGTGCATGAATTCACACATTACAGAGGTATATCAGAAAAGCAGAGACTTGAATTAACTATACATCTAGCTAACGTTTCGACAAAAAGAGTTGTGGCCTTCAGAAGCCCTGACGGAGGCAAAGCCTTCCGTGGAAAAGCTGGCCGCAGTGACATACCGTTAGCAAACATTTCTGAATGTTGGCAATTTATACAAGGTACTTGTATAGAATCGGTACAATAGAGCTTTCTACAATTCTTGAGGAAGTTGTGGGGTGGTGATCATTGAGCTGCCATGCCGGGATTACGGAAATCCAGACTCAAGAAGGGAGCCGACAGACGGAAACAACGTAGTGGGACAATCAGGTTGAACAGTGGAAGTGCCTCAGACAGGCTGGCCGACGTTTCGATAGGACGACCTATCTTTGTTAAAGATCTTCCTATCGAAACGTCGGCCAGCCTGTCTGAGGCACTTCCACTGTTCACCCTAATTATTCTACTACGTGGATTACGGGTAATATGTGAATTTGCTAAGTATTCGTGCATTGTACGCATGTGTCACTTTGTTTATTATTGGGTTTCTGCTTTGGTTTCCGAATTTAAAAAAGAGTTGATTATGAACATAGTGAGTGAACTTGAACTGGTCAGCCTGAGGTAATCAAGGCTGTGCAGTGGGATCACTGAATTCAGTGTAATTTTGTCCTGCACCAAAGCCACTGCAGACCACGTGGAGTCGTCAAATTAGTGCTTGGCGAATTCATGTACTACACATACTTCCATGTAGGCTGAAGTGCCATGTTTTGCAGCTCCCATAGACGCTAGAACACCAGATTTTCTTTTAGTGTCCTATTATGACACTCTGTGGTTGTTACAAGCTATTCCTACCTCGGAGGCTCCTCCTGCGACGTCTAGCGGCTGTGAGTGGCGTCTGGCAGACGTTGTTTATGACTTCGACCAGCATCGTTGCAGAGCAGATTCGCACCGGCTTGTGGAGATCAATCCATTCGGCGTAGATTGGACCCACGGCCACGACGAAGACAGCAATTGCGAAGACCAGTCGCATCTATACGGTGGAAATGAGTGCTTTATATTCCCAGGAGGGCTTATATATGACTCTGAAAATCTTGCCTTTAGTTCAAGCTTCAAGCAAGAGTTCGATCAGTTTCGAGGAGTCCGTAAACAGCAAACTGGCACTCCTCAGCTAAACAATCTAGAATTGTACTGTTATAATTTGCAGAGCTGAGGTGTGCAGGAACTTCCAGACGCCGATAAGGCGTCTAGCGTAGAGGTAACACCAATTGGTTATAATTAAACGCTGAACTTCACTAGTTATTATGGTCAAAATTCACACTTGCGCAAAGAGACTATTTTTTCGGCCCAGGAGCCCCAAACGTTTTAGTTCAGCTGAATTCAAATCGTGTTTGTTTATACAAAGACGTATTTGCTAAATTTCGGTAGTCATTGTATTTCGTGAAATCGCACAAATAATCAAACCTGTTTAGCCAATGAAGCGAGTGTGATACAGAAATTGGGACCAGTAGCCGATTGCACCATACTACTAAATCCATATTGCCTGTCCAGAAAGGAGCTTTTGAATTTAGAGTATGCTTCTTTCACGTTTCGCTTTGCTAGCAGCACGAGTTTACACCCACATTCTGCGTCTCACTAGATGGATAGTCTTGTCTGGCTTGCCACACACGTTATGCGTATCATGCACGATCTTATTTGGTGTTTGGCCTCACTTGCGTCTCCTTATAATATTTGGTGGACAAGTACTGAGTGTTGGGGGTTCGTATAGTTTGTATAGCATAAAACGTTGGTTTTGATCACCCGTATGTTGTCATCATCCTATAGTGATCCGGTGGTGAGTACAGCGAGGTTTGCCTGATTTCAGTGCAACACGGAATTTTCTGTGTTTTATTAACTGTCTTGCTCTCTCTCTCGCTCTCTCTCTCTCTCTGTGCAATATACGATATTTCTCAATTACAAAGAGAATACTCTAGGCATGTACAGCTGTGGTGCAAAAATGTTGTGCAGCTGTTTACGACAATTCAACGCATATATCTACGCACAAGATTTGTATCACGCAACTGTTGAGAGCGCACGCACAAAATATTTTCAGCTTGCCAGCTGCAAGGTCATTAAGACATACCTTGATGCTCGTCTGCGACACCGCTGTTGATGTCTGAGGAGTTTAACCAAAAAGGCTCCCGAAGTGCCGTGCTATCGGGAACCTGGGAAGTGGATTCGCTGGAGAAGTGTCACAGTCGTGCTCTGGTGAGAAGATGCACGGCGATTGTCGGCAGGTTGCAAGGGAGCCCCTGATTATATATGGAGGCTTCCTACCAGCCGCTTCTCTCGTTTTACTTCCGACGGGCGCTGGTAGACGGTGCGGGCGGCTCAGCGGGATAGTGCCACCAGCCTGGAGGTCACCGGCGGTCAAGACCACGAGATGCAGGCTTCGAACCCCCCCACGTCTGGCTGTCGGGCGACGACCGCTACTGTTGTACTCGAGGCAGCTGCAACGCGACGAAAACGCGCACACACTCATTCACCTTCGAACACTCACAGCGGGTTTTGATCTGCGAAATGTTCACACTAATATGACCAGACATGGTTGCGATTTCTCCAGCTGGGTTGTCCCCAGCAAAGGAGTGCGCTTTTCCAGTCTCGCGCATCGCAGCCTGCAAGACAACAACAAAGCAATGTTTCTTCTTTACGCCTTCGGAAAGTACTCATGATTCACAAGCCTTTCTACACCTGATGGGTGCTTAAAGAGATTCCATGTGTGAGGGTTCAGACTGACAAGTAATGATCATCAGGTCTGTTTGCTTCGTCACGCAGTTGTTTCACTGATGTTTCGGAATAACTGTGTTAGAACCAATCAATCCATCTATCAAACAATCAACCAATCAACCACACTTTCAGTGTGGTCCGACACCTTTAACAAGTTCACCACCCCATGAATGTTATCGCAGCGAACTGAATTTGTGACTAGCGGTAACGCCGGACCGCCAGCTGACTCGCTGTCACGTTTTCTGCCGCTCTTGTCGAAAAGTTTTGCATGCATGTTGTCAGTTTTCGGCAGACACGCCAACTGTAAATCTCTTTGCCGAGAGAAAGTGAAAAGAAATTAGCAATAATTCAAAAGAATTATAATTAATGAATTGCTCATCAAACGTGCGGCAACTTTGTGTTAACAAATCGTTAGCAATATTTATACTTGTAGTCGAAAACCTCCACAAATAAGAACTACTCCACTCAAAGACGTTTTATTCAGCAACCAGAAGGTTCTCTCAAAACTTGGGAAAAAAAATAATCTGATGGTTCCTTGATTTTAAAAGGACATTGAAGCAAAATTTCTATTTAGTTGAGGCATGCATAAAAGCGTGAGTACCAGAAATTTAAAGTTTTTTTTTTTATTTTGTACAGAGCACGCCGTAGAGCATGACACCAATGACACGTGGGACGTATGGTAGCCGCTGCTGTCTAGCCTAGCACTTGTGGATCAGCTGCGACTGATGCACAGAGCTTAACGGATGGCTCATGTCAGTGGGGCCCTGCAATAGGGGCACCACCCTGCCGGACAGCCTACGCTCTTCACCCTGCATATTTCCTGCAGGGCACGGGTGTCTTAGCCTGTCTGGTTTACGTATATAATAAAGTTTTGGGCTACTACTAGTACTGGGCCGTCGGCAGTATATTATTTTTTTCTGCGTGTTTTATCTCTGACTACCTTAAAACACCACGTAACCCACTTTCACCATAGTCGATACCGTACTTCATTGATTACAGCATCTTTACTGATAAAAATTCTTCTGGATCGCATCAGGCTCTGTGAACGTCTTTTATGTCGTAGTGACACGAGGCAGGAATGCCAAAATGGTGTCGTCACCAGTATTTTCTCTTCGTGTATTTTCTTATTTAACAATCGTTTTCTTAAGTGTTAAGTACTGCCTTTCGGATATTTCAGGTTAGCGATACTAACTAAATTGCTTTTCGTACATCTTTAACATGTTAAGATAACACCTGAAGACAGTGCGGCAATCTTGGCGGTGTAGCCAATGCTTCATCAACTCAGTTTGAAACTCTCCATCGCAGCTACCTACTCAAACATTTTAACACCACCATCCGAAACTTACAGGCTGCAGGATTCTGCCAACCTCCACCACAGTATCTGGGCCTGTCCCGCAGTAACACTAACAAACACAGCACCAACTCTGCATCAAGATAATCACGTTCGAACAATGCTGGTCTAAGCTGTTCAGCACGTGCCCGGAGGACCAACTCTGAGCAGCACGACCGGCCCAAGACACAACCAATGCTCAAAGTAAGGACGCCGCCTCAGAAAATGGGCTCCTACAGGGCTAGTGTCCCAGCTCCCGCTTCTATTGACTCCAGCAAGAGCCAAAATAAAGTTTAGAATTCCTCTTTCTCGCCCCTCTAAACTTTACAAGACTGAAATATCCAGACTGGCACTGAAGGTGTTTTTTTTTTTGTTTTATGGGATATTGTAAAGAATTCCCAACTTGATCGACTCAGTAAGTAGGGGATGCTTTTAACGAATCCTGCAGGATGAGTCACGGTAACTACGAATTGATTTTGAGTAAGTGTAGACCACACGTTGCTGTGCGCGGAAAACTACAAAGCAATGAGATTGCAAAGGAAAATAGAACAATTAAATGAGACCTTTTCCTAAAATGATCCTAGTGGCGCGGCTTCTTCGAAAAACAGAGCTCGCCTTCTTTGTGGCTTCTTTCATAGTGATATAGTTTTATGATATTAGAAGTCCGCGTAAAATTTCAAAAAAAAACAGAAAAAAGAACAGTGCCAATTACGAGTACTATAGCACTAAGGTCGCATGGCACATTTCCCCATGACAAGTGTCCAAACCGCACTTCAATTTCGAACGCAAGTTTTCTTACCTGACTTTCTCGAGCTTACAAACACACTTCAGACTGAAAGACCGTTTGGATATTTCGGTCTTCCATTCTAACAGTTTTCCCTAGGTGCCCGTCCTTCTATGCCTCGTCAGTGGTGTACGTTTTTATATGCGCTGATTTCACTTGGTTAAAATGTCCACAGTGCTGTTAAGAGCGCGTAAGCAGACAAGATAAACAAGACAGAATTACAAAAACGAGACCTCACTTCAAACGGAAGTTCATTCACAGAAACTAGCCAGGTTTGGTGTAGAGTAAAACCTGGCCAGTTTCTGTGAATAAACTTTAGTTTTAAGTGAGGGCCCATTTGTGTAATTCTGTCTTTTGTATCTTGTCTGCTTACGCGCTCTTAATACCATGGTGGATCAGTACAACATCGCCCCGAGTTTGTGTGCTTTTTTTTAAAATGTACAATTACCAACAGAAATACCAACGTCATAGGCTCATCGCTTTCGGCTTGTTAGTGCATCAAGGTCTGGCAATGTGACACTGCCGGACTTTGTCTCCATGACGTAATCGATCCAAGATTCAGCAGTGTGAGCTGTTGGACAAGTTTGGTGATAGCGAAAGCCTCGGGTAGAATTCGCTTATCCCCAAGATAATACTTTCGAAAATATTTATTAAGTTAGCGCCCGACGGGTTAATGCCGCACATAGCACGCATGAATTCAGGACAAAGGGAAGCTTAGACTCAGCCCCACAACAACGATGTCGTCTTTTTTATCTATTCGGGTCATTTCGGCATTCATGACAAAGGTACCCTTCCACACCCGTGACAACTTTTTATTCCTACTTCAGGGAGCACTGCGGTGGCCACCTCCTAAAAATAGTCGCATATCATACTTTAAATGCATGATTTGACAAAGACAAGCGAAGAAATAGCACTGACGCTTCCAAAGGTGGTCTATTCAGAAGACCACTTTCAGCAATACCTTCACTTTCGCGACGTCTCAAGAGGTAGCGCTGAGGCATACAGGCGTCCACGGACCACCACGGTGTGACACTTTTCCAGCCTTACTGACACTGCACCAGGCCACGCTGTCTCTCGTAGACTCCGCTCCATGCAGCGTGGTCTTCTAAAATCTTGTGAAGGCGAAAGTATCGCGAAAGTGAATGCCAAGGACTGCCTACTCTGTATCCAGGGGATACACGTCAAAGAGTACACACAAGACAGAATGCCATACTTACGTTCACAATTGTTGGTTCCAGCAAAATCGAACTTCGTTGTAAGGAGGTGCAGTCGACTTTTCGAAGCCTTCCCTTCCAATGTCTGTCTTGAAAGCCCCAGCAGGAGTTAACGCCGAAATGCCACTGGTACCAGGACCTCTCCTGCCGGAACCCCCAAAGCCTCTAGCACAGCGCGCGCGCTGCCCGGCTCTTAACAGCGCGAGTTTTGCAGCGCACCTTCGTTGTTCTTAACCACCCAAAACATGCTTTGCACCCGACACCCACTTGCCTTCGCGTTTCCCTCCCCTCCGCCAGCACGTGTTTGACACTGGACACTGCGGCGAGCGAAGGAAAAGCTTCGTGCCCTGTTGAAATTTTCCCACTGTACGAGTAGAAAACGAGCATTGCGTCGATGCATTCCACGCAGCTTGGCTGCAGGAGTATTCTTTTACAAAACACCATGCGTGCCCCGGATGCCGGCCATAGCGATCAAGGCGGCATATCCGTGCATTCATGCTGATTTACCTCTGCCTTGAGGAAAAAAAAACATTATTTCTTTGTTTGCCTACTGACACTTAATGCGGGAAATCGATCACGTTCGTGCCCACAAAAGGAGAGCTCGGCTGGCACACATCTACTGCATACCACGGCATTCGAAGACGTGCCTGACAGACAGCGTTCCATCCGTATTTGCTTGCCGCATTCGGCCGCACCGTCTCAGCTTTGCAGTGTAGTTCGAAAACATGTGTAACTGGACACCAACCGCGTAGTTTTGCGTTAGAAGTAATAGTAGACGCGCGAACGCCGCAGAGCGTGAAGATTTGGCCTGACTCACGCCGTCCTGGTAGCTGCTGTCTGGTGTCGTTTCGGAACCGAAAATTCCTCGAGGATCGATTGCAAGTACAAGGCCGGTATGCGGAATGCGGTGTTTTCCACGTGCCGTATACGTGACAAAACTAACCACACACAAACGTGCGTGTGGCTCACGCGCGACAATCACGGGTTCGCATTTTCCCGCTCATGGTCTGAAGAAAGTGTTTGGGTCCAACCACGAGGGTTCCTGTTCCGAATAATTCGTCCTGTTTCCTTTGCACAATCGCGTTGCCTGACGAAAGGAGTGAATTTACATCCCAGGAACTGCCTTTTTACGGGTATAGCACTTGTTTCCCTCCCAAAAACTAGTCCCCTAGTTCAATTCGAAACTTTGTACCGACGAGACGCTACTATGCTGTGCAGATTATGGTTGGGCGTCGCATTTACCGATGCGTACGCGTTCCGCATAGGAATGGCTGACACTGCTGCATGCGACCATTGTGGCAGTGATGAAACAACTTGGCACATTCTGTGTGAATGCCCACAATACTGCTCGCAGAGACAGTCACTCTGCAATGCACTAGATTAACTGGACAACCAGCCTCTTTTGGAATAAAGAATCCTGCGCTGCCGACAGGACTTTATGTCGCAGAAGAAGGCTGTGAAGGCGCTCCTTCGCTTCTTGCGTTCAACCGGCCTGTCCAAATGACTGTGATCGGAACTCCCTGAATGTGTGCGCATGTGGTTTTTTTTCTAATTTGTTTTTATCTCTCTATTTCTATCCTCTTTCCGACCCTCTTCCACACCCCGTACAGGGTAGCAAACCATTTCGTCTAGGTTAACCTCCCTGTCTCTTCCTTTTATTTATTTCTCTCTCTCTTGGAAGTGTACCTGAAATTGCTTCGTTCAGCAAGTAAACTGGGCTTCGTCTTCGTCTTCCTTGCTGTAAAGAAAACTGACACCCTTTGCGACGTCTCGTTCCTCTATAGGTGAAGCTTTCATCAGTTGCAGGTGTGTTTTCCTGGTCGAAAGCATTAGGAACGCCACTTTCTCATCACAAATGCAGATAAACTAAATGGGGCGGATACTATCTGGGCTTTGGGGAGAAGTGCTCGCCGCATTGAGGGAAGATGTACTGCCAACAGCAAAAGTGTGCGCGATGTGCAGCGCGTCGCGGAACGGCCTACTGTGTCGCGGCGAATTGTCGAGGCTTTCGCACGCGGCCTCGGTGCTAAGCAGCGGCGCATTCAGACAACGCACCAGCGCTGGATCCGATCTCGAAAACTGTGACCGATTACCTCAACACAATGGTGCATGTCACGGTATAGGCGGCGCCGCATCGCCGTTTTCCGCCGCTCCGCGACTCGCTGCACATCCCACAAGTTTTCGCTGTTGACAGTGCAGGTCAGATGACAATTAACATTTTGGATAACGACCAGCAACGAGTGGTGTCAACTTGTGAGGGTGCTCAAAGTGACCGACTGGTTTGAAACTGCTGTGGAGCAGGGACTTCGAAGACTTGGCCCCGTGGGCTGTATGCGGTCCGCGAATCTTTTGCGTGTGATCCGTGGTCAGCACGGGGCTGTCTTCGAAGGTCCCCTACTTTTTTTTTGTCCCTAATAAGTATGTTCATGAGCTACACCGAATCGAGTAGTATCAAGCATTGTTTTCGAGAAGGAATACGTTAAATCAGCACGTACTGGAACATAATTGTGGAGAACTGAACATTCCAGGATCGGCGTCGACTTGAGTACTTCTGTCTATCGGCTATTATGGAATGAGAATTGAACATTCCAGGATCGGCGTCGACTTGAGTACTTCTGTCTATTGGTGTCGGTGTTTCCGGGATCCTGAGTCCAGAAAACTTCCTGAAATCAGTCATATATGCGGCATAACGAAAAAGAAACTCTCCATCAAATAGCAACGCATCTGTAACATTAATCATGCACCCCCTCCCTTTCCTTCGCTTCCCTCGGCCCTGGCTCTTGCCGTACTTCGTTTAGTGTCTGCGGTCCACCGGCTTATGCGACTTTGAGACACCTTCTCTACAGTATTTTATCGGAGTTCCAGAAATCTTCTGAAAGAGCAGCTGTTTGTTTAGTATGGCATTCCCTTAAAAATTTTCGTGTTTCACGGAAGTGTCAAATGTAAAAAAAGAATAACAAGCATTTCCATGCAGAGTCGGGTGCTATGTATTATATCTTGGATTTAAAGAATTACTCTCGAAACAGTGTAAGATACTCTCCCAGAATGAGCTCCCGGCTAAACAGCATGCAAAGAATGTCGAGAACACAACTGCTAGTCGATGGTGTTAATCTATTGAATGAATAATGGGTGGTCTTACAGAGAAGTTTTTATGTGAGCATTCAGTTTTATGTAAACATATATGTGAACATTCACTGAACAGTTCGTGAAATGTTGGATCACTTCAAGAGTGCTATCGAGTAGCGTTTAGAAAAAGATAGTCTTATAAGGGTGCACAAAATTTTTGTAAGCTCTCTTAAAAGATGGTAGCCGTTAACATTACTGGTGAAATTCAGCGTGTTTGCCCCGCCGCAGTGGTCTACTGGCTAAGGTACTCGTCTGCTTACCCGCAGGTCGTGGGATTGAATCCCAGCTGAGGCAGCTGCATTTTCGATGGAGGCGGGAATGTTGTAGGCCCGTGTGCTCCGATTTGGATGCATGTCAAAGAACCCCAGGTGGCCCGAATTTCCGGAACCTTCCCCTACGGCGTCTCTCATAATCATACGGTGATTTTGAAACGTTAAACCCGACATATAAATCAAGTTCAGCGTAGTTTGCTGCTTTCAGCGGCGTTAAGCCTTGCCAGACGTTCAGTCAAGTTGTATTCATCCAACCATCCGGTGCAGGGGGAGGGGGGGGGGATAGTTAGTGTAAAATGCGATAAATAGGACATGTTATGAGTCTTGTGGAAAAGTTAACCATTGCAGCGTGAAGTCTTGTGGAGAAGTTAACCATTTCAGCGTGAAGTTTCAAAGTTTCTGCCATAAAAATAAAGAAAATAAAAGATGGCAGAAAAGACACCTAAAGGTGTCTGGAATCGTGTTCAGAAGTGTTGTCGATAGCTGAATTTCGAAAGAACTACTAAAGAAGCAGCATCAAAAAAATGTTTGAGGTCAAGCACACTAGCAGCGCATCTTTGCAAGTGCTATGGCTTATCTAAATTATTGCACAATAAACACACTACGAGACTCGTGATGCGGGTATGTTAATGACACGATTTAACTGACTTATTTGGAAGAGAGATATACTTGTTTTAACACACTTGTCACGCCTGTGAAAAATGTACGTTTTTATTTAGACAATTCTAAAATATATAGTAAGAAACTAAAATAAAACGTTTGCCGAAAAGGAAGAAAAAAAAACTACTGAGTTTCGGCTCCTACATAGGAGCGCGCGAGCAGAAACGTTTATTAGAACAATGACAACTCACTCAATCGTTACACAGACTCTGGCTATTCGACCAAGCACTCCACCCACGCATAATCAACCATGGCCACCTTGCGTGCACTTGCAGCCAGACCATGCGGGTGACGCAAGCTTGTGCTAGACGGGTGTGCTTAGATATGCATACAAGACGCACGGAGATACTCAGATTAATAATGAATTTATTACTGTTTCATTTTAATAGTGATTTACAAACCGAGTGACATTAGCCGAGGCACTAGGCACTTATGAGTGGCTCAGAACAACTAGATTTGTGGCCTTCCTGGTTGCGCTGCCACAACTGCGAAGCCGGATAGTCTTCGAAGCTACACTTTGATACGTACGTCGAACTCTTGGCAACCGACAGTCTTCCCTCCGTCCATCATTTCTGCTCGAAAGTGGAAACGGCCGTCCTGGAAGTGGTGTCACAAAGAGAAACGAAATAAAAAAAGCGAGAAGTCTACACTCGCCGAGCAGAGTTTGAGATGCTGGTCAATTCTATAGGTGCCCCAACGGGGCCTTCTTGGCTGATGCTAGGTCTTTCTCAGGGGTAGACAAACTAGAGTGGAACCACAGCGTGTCACAGATCATGCAAGAATATGCAAAACTCCTGTGCCAGAACTAAGGTACGAAGCTGGCTGTTGTACCCCTGGTGGAGGCGTCGGAAAACTCAGCGCAGTGGCGGCGCGGACCATGTCCGTCGGTGGGCGTGGCTGACAGCCAAGGACGCGGAGGGGTTCTCGAGGACACTCGAAATTTCACCATCAGCTTCAAGAGCTTCCCTCTTGAAAATTGAAGGAGGCTGTAAGTTTGAAAGTGTGTTCGGCGAACACCTGAGCCCGCTTAAGACGGAACCACCGTGGTCCGACGTGAGGTGCGACTGACCAGTATGTGCACCCTGGTGGCACTTTGCGCCACGCCAAGGCACAAATGGGTGGACGGACGGACGGACGAATGTTCGTGAGCCTGAGACACGAAAGGCTTTAGCCTCAAAACTGGAGGCGACCCTATTCCCAAACTTAGTAGCTGACTACCAGAACTCGCATGTAGGCGTTGGTATGCCTTGGTGTAGTCCTCGGGTTAGCTTTTGTCTTTCGTCCCACCGCCGAAGCGGTCCTCCCAAATCCCACAAAAAGTAGCACGTGGGTGAGATTTGTTCCGTCAGATGCCGCTACGTTCTCAGTAGCCAACAATAAATCCATCTGCTCTTTCAATGCAACCCTACATGATTAGTTTTTCGCTAGTTATGCTGACAGCTGATTCAGCGTTACGGTAAATTACGCTCCCACGTCATTTGTATGAATGTAACACTTAACCACCAACTCTGCTAAAATACGAAAATTCAGGTGATGCCAGCCGAAACCATTCGTTTCGTCCAAGTACTGCGCTGGTGATGTGACGTAATGCGTGACGTGTCTCCTTACGGCACACGACTGTGCCGCATTTGACGGCGACCGGAAGTTAGGCTGCACCCTTTAGAGTGCGGAAACACGCACATTCACCACCAAGAAACATTAACTAGTCGACTTTGCTGTAATAATATTGTGTCCTATTTCACGTTTCAAGCTACTCCAGCAATTGTAAATGTGCTTTATTATTGACACGGCGAATGCACAATCTGCTAATACACCATTATTTAAAATTTCTCCAGTGTCTTTCTAGGCATGCTAAAGGGCGTACCGCATAAACTTGAGCAGAGCGATGACTATAGGACTAATTTGTGGCGGTTCATGAGTTCTCGTTGCGCGGCGAATGGCGAGATGAGGATGACACAGGGAATATAGAGCTGGTTGTGTGCCGACCTGCAGGGCTGGTTAGCAGAGAAGCTGCCTTGCAGTACTTGTATCATCCTCATCTCGTTATCCGCAGCCCAAAAAGAAATCATGAACTCGTCGTGTTATTCTGGCTTCGGCAAGCAAACCTGAGATATCAATACTATTATTAATTACTATTGGTATTAGACATCGCAGAACTTACCCCGATCGATGTCCTTAAAATACTTGGCACATAGAAGGAGAGTGTTTTCTCGTACTTCTGCGCCTTGATTGGACATTTTCCTTCCCAGGCAGAGGACAGAAATTTCTCCATTCCAGAGCTGCCGTCACACATCTTGTACGTGCTGCGGTGGACCACAGAAGAAGAATTGTAGAAGGTACAAACCCAGAGGCAATTTTTCATCCACGAGTTCACTGTGCGCTTTTTACTGTCAACAAGTACGGTACACTGTGATACCTGTTAGGCTGTAGTAGTTGTAGATATGTGGTGGACTTAAGCCGTCGTGTAGTAACTCATCCTAGAAATTGCAGCAGCTATTGCAAGAGCGTTTTAACAGTGCCGTTCTATAGAAGCTGTTCCATAACGTTCTGAAGAGTATTGGATTCGCGTCTACATTGATGCAACCGTAGAGGAACTGCTCTCGAGTAATTCTCAGGGGTGAATGTCTGCGTGTGCCCGGTGAGAATTGATACGTGTTTCCGTGTATCGCTCGTTCTCTCTTTGTTCCTTCTTTCTCCATTCTTTTTCTCCTCTCCCAGTGTTGGGTAGCAAGAGCACAATCTGGTTAACCACCCTGACTTTCTTTTGCCCTCCCCCTCTTCATGTTGTCTTAGCAATTCGCAAAAGCCTTTGGTTCACAACTCGGCGAACTTACTCGTGAGTCGACTCACTCCGACTCGGACCAAGCCAAGGGTCCGAGTGTGCCCAGTTGCAAACAAAATATTTATAGATATACAAACGTGACTCCGAGCACATTCAGTCGAGGAAAGTTTGGTGAGAAGCCCCTAGTCATCCAAGAGGACGGGTGGAGGCGCAAAGGCAGCACTATGCATTGACATAATAGGAAGGGGGGGGGGGCACTACTGCGACTCAGGACGGGGTGGGCCGCAGGGAGAGAGAGAAAGAGAAACACTCTATTCAGTTATTCGGTGGACTAATATATCCTACTCCCGTGAGGGGATACTCGACATGAAGGTCGTCGGGACGTGGCCACACATCAACTCGACGTGTCATCCTCTACCCGGCAAGCAGCCCTCGCTACTCCCACCTTCTTCTAGCACCCACTCCCGCCCCTGGGCTGGTGTGGTAGTGAGCACCTGGTACAAAGTCCGAACCATACATTGACATAACGGGAGGGTGGGCGTTGAGACGAATCTACGATCCCCTTTCCCCCGCCCCCTTGAAGTGGAACTCAGCGCACGCCAATTTGAGTGAGTGCAGGTGAGTAATACTGTATACTGACTTTGACACCGAGCTTGTCCAGCTGCGAAAAAAATATAGTGAGTATGAGGCTGGGTGGGCCATAAGCACCAACTACATTTCGTGAGTGAAAAACGAGTGAGCTACATGTTTTGGCCGACCTATCTCTACAATAGATGTCTGACTGTTTATGGCGATTATGGAGCTTGAGGTGGTGCTTGAGGGCACAAACATAATGTGGACTCTCCTTTCTGCTCGCAGTTTAATATAACGCTGCCGCCAATGTCACAACAAGAATGAACACTGAGCGGTGTAACTGTTTTGAATACTATCTCTTGACCCGAATTTCCTTTGACTTGAGTGCGGAAGCATTGTGTATTTTGATATTTCCCTACCATACTGCTATCTAATGTGTAAATGTACTAGCGTTATGTACTTGTCCTAATATTAAACTAAGCTTCATATATAGGTTAGGCATAGTACAAGAAAAAAAATATGTCCTGTTTGTAATAATTGAGAATGTCGCGGAATAATTTCTTCTGCATATACATCGTGAATTTCCACTGCTACGTTGTCCTTATACTAGCCAAACAGGCTATGTACTATATTAAGATGCAATGTGCCACAATCAGTTTCATTCATCAACCACATCAGGCATGGTACCGTCTGTCTAGCCCTGAAGAACAACCAGCGATGGCTTACTGTGCATTGAAAAAAAAATGACCCAGATTACCCTCCAACTCTTGTTTCCATTCGCACGAACAAATATTTTATCACTGAGACGTTGATACCGTAAGATTGTCATTGAAGGCGCTTTGTGCACTTTTCATCGAGCCATTTTTGCATGTCTAGAGATACCCAGCCCGTCAAGCACGACAACTCAACACTGCGAACACATTGCGCAACTGACGTATAAGTTTATAATGCAGGCTCTGCGGTTTCATGTGACGTTCTCAGTGTGGTACGAGTGCCCCACTTTAGGTACGAGTTGTCTCTGAATCAAGTTACTTGAAGCAAACGCCCTTTGTGCACTAAGGTTGGAACGCCCAGGAGTTCGCCGCCCCATAGGGGTGAACCGCTGTACAAACAATCCATGCGAGCCGCGTTGCTGTTGACAAAACTCTCCCCCCCCCCCCTTCCCGCCGCGTCGTGTGGGTGGAAAAAGACACTTCGCTTCAGGCGTGTCTCTTCTTTCCAACACAAACGATGTCGGCATCTGCAAACTGACCACAAGGTAGTGTACGGTGTTATGTTTACTCGTGTAGGTTTTCGTTTTAAAACGAGCTGTTTTACTTGCAATAATGTGGACTAAACGGCTACTGCCCATTCCTTGGATGAGTCACTGACATCAGCTTGTGTGCCCCCCGAGTTGTGCACCTGTGCACCCAAGTTGGCGTATTATGTCAATATTTAATAACATGTAAAGACGTAAAGCAGTCATCATCTGCAGTTCCTCTACAGCTTTGCGAACGCATACTTGCTCTGCCCACAGACAAGTGGCGGTGACCCTATAGCCACGGTGTGGTAGGATATATTACTCAACGTTCTTTACGGATTGAGCATGTGTTTCCATGGTGGACATGGTGCTCGAATGCTGTCTCTAATATCGCGAGATTGAGTCCGGGCCGCAGGGGTCGTATCTCGATTGATACGAAATGCGAGACCCCCACGTACTTATATTTAGGTTCATGTTAAAAAGTCCCAGGTGATCAAAGTTTCCGGAGCCCTCCCCTAAGACATTTATCATAATCAAATACTGGTGTTGGGACGTGAAACACCACCAGTTATTGTTATTGGAATGAGCACGCGGTATGCCTGGTGAAAAGCAAACATTTCCCAGTATATCTGGTAGAATTTAAAATTATTTGTAACGCAACTGAGATAATTGAGGGGAAAAAAAACAAGGAAGGCAGGATATGGCGACATGCATAACCACGACGAATTCGCCCTTCATAGGAAAGTGCTAGCAGCTGAAGGCTTGCGAGAAGTTTTGGTGCAAACATACTTGTCTTCAGAGTTGGAACTTGATAATCTTGTAGATACGTTTTACATGGCCAAATGAGGGCTGTTTGATAAGGCTTCGTGGACTGAAAAACCTTTCATGAAACGAATTCCAATGAACCTTGCACGGCACACCGAAGAAGAGATGAAAGTATTATAGGATGCTGGCGCCTTCACCTGTCTCTCTGATTTCTTTCTTCTTTGTTCTCACTTAAGCCACAAATGTGTTGTTATGCTACTGTGCCAAGTCGCTCAGCGTCACACTCTGCTGGGTACACAACCACATTCCTTTGTGATTGGCCATGGGTTGTCTTCTTTTGCTTCCCTCTTTTGCTAACCACAATGCTGCTTCGCTAACATTTTTAGTAACCAAGAGGAAGTTTACGTACCACGAACCGAGGCCGAGGACGCAGGGAACTCTGACCTTATCCGATGTGAACACATCCCAATTTGAGTTGGGGATTAGAGTGTAATTCTTTTATAGCCTGAATGATAATGTCTACGTGAACGGTTTTCCCGACTTCAAGATCTTTCACGTTGGCACTCTTGATTTCAAATGTCGTTTTCGGTGTCATGGTCTGCAAGAAAAATTGGAAATACAAGCATAGCATTTCGAGGAAGCCGCATATAGCTGAAGTCTTATTAAGCAAAATAGGTTCAACGGTATGCGAAATATTTGGGAAGTGCACCATAACAGAAAGACAGCTTTCTGTTCATGGAAACTCTATGCGTGAAATGCAAAGCTTCCTTCTCTAGCCATAGACACACTGACTCTTTGATGTTCTTTATTTCGTTTAATGATGAATACGAGCCATTATATATACAGAGGAAAAAACACTCTTAACAGAAGCACTGCAGCACAGAGTATTCTGCCTTGATACAGTAGAAAAACTTAGTTTATAAAATATCATGTGAACCTATACTTCTGCCGAGCTAAACTGCACACATGACAAGTGGTCATTTTAGTGACAGTGTTTTTGTGCACGTATCCTGACGGGCATCGATAAGAAGCGTTTATTCAACTTGTTAATTTTTACACAGGAAGTAAAAGTTTTTTCGAAGTGGAGTACCACAATGTTCGATGTGAACTTTACATCAATGTCAGGGTGAAATAACATAGTAATGACCAATTAAATGCGAGCCATAATTGACCTTTGAACAGCAATGAGAGTTCCTATTTTATTCTTTTACTTCAAGACCTCTTTCGGCGTATAAGTATTCTGGAATATTTTTAATCAGCACATTAAGCTTATTCGGTTCTTATATCTTCACGCTAAATGTACAAACCGCGAGATGTCCTATTCCTCAAGGTGCTGTGGTTTAAACCAATCCCGTCGACATGGTGCAATCTCATATGAAAAATATATACACGTAAGTGTTCAAGTGCTCGTGCATTCCTTCCCCATTGAGACAGTGCCCAACGGCTCAGTGTCAGTATCTTTGTACCGAAAACGTATATTTGTGCGTAGACGTAATACTGTATTGAAAAAAAAAAAACTCCCCATTTTAAAGCTATGCGATGTGTCTAGCAGAAGCTTTAATTTAGTCGTCAATTAAGTTGATAGTGGTTCACAAGTTTTTTAGCAGCTCTTGAGCCTATTTCGTTATGAAAAAAAAAACACATGGTTAATCCCTGCGTCAAGAATCGGCATAACACGCAAGTGGGGCGTGTTCTTACACAAATGGTTTAATTTTTACGGAACATTCATACAAGAGGGCTTGGATGTCTGTTGGTATTTCAACGAGAATGCACCCGTGGTAAGTACATCTCCCTCCCAAACGGCTAACATTTATGATCAATGCATAAGCAAACCTTTGTGGCATCTGTAGTGGTTAACGATGAGATCGCAATCAAATAAAGAGTTGTGACAGTTAGAAGATTGTCGCGGACTGCGCGCAGAACTTGTGCTAAGTTCGGCCTCCCGCAGCGTGTTAAAAAGAGTTGAGCACCCCTTGAACGCGGTGTGACAGCCAGGAAAGGCAGTCACTGGTCGCAGCTCTATTTTCAGAATGAACGAATACCATGAGAGAGGCAGACGTTTGAGCTGCGGTCGCCACCTCGCGGTGTGTTAAGGCGTTGAATAAGTTGCAGATGACTCCTGGAAACATGCCGAAATGGACGGACGCGCAGGAACGACGCGTTGCAGGAGCTAATCGCGGCGGTCGTGGTCCCAATTAATCGCTTCACCGCTGCCTAGAGCGAAATAGATGAAAGTGTGAGATATAGAGGGCGCCTTTGACAGCCTCCCTAGCACGTGACCATGGCGCTGCTGCTGTCGCCGACCGAAGGGTCATGGGCTCGGACACCGGTGACTTAACTTTTTCTTTGCGGTCTGATCGTGTGAATTGTTTGACGTCACTTCCGTGACTGAAATGCGTCACCGAAGTCTTGGTGAACCCTGGCGTAAAACACTTGTATGTCAGAATAGTAAATGGACTAAATCAGTTGGTTTTCACAAAAGTGTCGATCATATACGTCGCTAAAACAGTATTGTATCCCCTAAATAGAACTGTCGACACACATAAAAAGAGGTGCGCGCTCAGTATTACCATGTTAGATCCTAATCTTGGCGATAAAAGTAGTATTCACTTCAGAACGAAGTTTTCAGTATGGTCACGATGGTCTGGACGAAAGGAGATGTTTTTTCTAGGTTTTTCTTTCCTAAAGGTACACATTTCATGTGCACGAATGTTCTTGACACGTAAGTATATATTTGATGAATTTCTCAGGCCTCATGCCACATATGGAAGAAAGGGTTTAATAGTTCTTCGCAGGTCTGCCTAAATAATTTTTTTTTCATTTCACTTTTCGATCTCATACAACAACTCAAGGCTGTCCAGAAGGCCCACGATGTGGCGGTGAGGCTGGGCCTCCCAGTCCCAACGTGGGAGTGGCCCGCGATCCTACCCCTATAAAACGGGGGTGGAATCCTTCAGGACCCCAATAAAAGTTTTTCATCCATCCATCCATTTCACTTTTCGAACCTGCCAGCCTTGGTTACTTGCGCTGCATAACAACAAACCTGACCTGGGCCTACTGCCGCGATACAGCAATTATGGTCGTGATGCCGCTTTGCTTCTTGTTAATCATAATGCTTTGAACAACCTCCGTCGTATTTCTCTTCTTTGTCAAGCGAGCGCAATTCGGCAGCATTTTAGCTACTCTGCCAACACACGAAGTGCCAAAGGTGTGGCTCGCAAAAAAAAAAGCATGTTCTGCATAACTGGCACTTACCAGAACACTGCTTAACATCGAGTTTCTGCGAGTGGCTGCTGTTGGCTAGGGCAACAGCAACGACGAAGAGCAGTAGCAATCTTCATACTCTGGTCGAGAATTCTCGTCCACGAAGCGAGTGAAAGACATCGCTGCGAACATGGTTGGTCCAGTAGGGCTCCCACCTCGCGACTAAGCGAAAGAAGACGCCGAACTACCGCGGAGTACATATTGGTCTCAAAATAACAAAAAAAAACAACTTGAAATATATATCAATGGCGCTAAAGCAGCGTTTGTGTCAGAATTTTCGTTCTAACGCTCTCCTTGACGTGCTACTTGGAACGAAGGCTTTGTTACGTGTTCTTGAAGTTGCTTTCGCACCGAGTCGAAATAGATCGATACTTCCGGCACTCAACTATCGTCAGCCTGTACAATGAGTGCAACGATCTCCAAGAAGAAACACTCAAAGACTACAACTCATGTCTCCGATCACTGCACAAACAACTCGGAGACGCCAAATTCAGGACACTTGGCCCGCCCCTCGCAAGGCACTACATATAAGTCGTCATTCATAGAGTGAGCTCTGTGATCACTTCTTCTTTGTCGTGACTGTCTGAGCGCGTTTCCCGAGAGAGAAATAAGGAAAGACAAATTGACCTTAAGCATTGAATCCACGACAGATGGTGCCTCAATCCGGGTACGTTATTCTCGGGAAACTTTCCTAAAAAGGAAGAAAGACTGTCGACTGGCGGCAGTTTCAGCAGAATATTGTGAATGGAACACTTCAAGAGAGTTCTTTGAGAGACGAATGGGTCCGCTAAATGATTTCTCGGTAGCGCACAAGCGTACATGCCCGAGTTCTCATTTTTGTCGTGGAAGACCTCCTTGAAGTGTTATAACTTGGTACCCACGAAGAGATATGTCTTCTACGCCGGAAAACACGAACACATCACCGGGAAAGCCGTAAACAACTGATATGTTGCGTAAAAAGATGCGTACCCCGAGAATAAACATTTAAGTGTCTCAGCCGGGCTATACGGAGAGCGCCATTCAACGACTGTCAGGGACAGTCTATGCCAGATATGTTGCAGGCATTGAAAATCTATAGCGCGAACCTGCAGAGGCTGCTAGGTCATGTTTGTTTTTCACAGAAGAGAGCAGCTACGCCGATGACTATGGCAATCTCTGAAGTTCGACGTCACGCTCTATTTTTCTTCTGTAACACGTTTCCTTGCGTCCTTTGTAACCTGTTGTCTTATGCGCATCATGCATAACAGGGAGCACGCTTGGCGAAGAGACAGCTTGTTTCTCGAAAAACGCGTACGTTTGTTGCATGCCCCTTCTTGATATACCACCCAATAAATCACGTAAACCTTGTTGTAGGTAGATACCGCACTGCTTCCACTTCCATGCATTCAGTGTCATCCCCTATGACACACCAGTTTTTTTTTCTACTCGACATCGCCCAACAACTATCTTTAACTTTAATATAAAACCCCATAGTTAGCTTCTGTCAGCGTGACACTGTACATTTTGAACATTTGTGAAGATTTTTCATAACTGTAGTGACAACAATGCTGGTACGAAAGGTTATGCTTTTTCCCAACACCTTTTGGTAGAACTTGGAGGTCATCCTACTGAAAAGTTTCATATGGCACTCAAATAGTCCAGGTGTGCCCCTGAAGAATACAAGCAAAGTACATAGATTTTCCATATTGTTACATAAAAATGACACTAGTCCTGTGTTTTTTAGAATCCATGTTGACACTGATGCGTATAGCATCGACTAAGATGGAGGACAGCACGCACAACCGACAGACCACTTCCTCGTTGTCGTCTCTGACCGCTGATATATCAGCTACGTATATATAGCAATATATTTGTAATCTACTTTCATGAGAATTGTACGAAAATAAATGGAATTATTATTGTGGTGTCCAGAACGTTCTATAAAGGAAAAGTTCACAGACACTAGCTGGTCAGTTTAATTTGGTATTGTAAATCTAGTATAAAGGAACGTAGAATTTTTTTTTTTTTTGCGGGAGGGGAGGACACTTTGATTTCAAGCGCGGTCCAGGCAGGCAGAAGTGGTCGAGTGTAATTTTAAGCCCTGTAAACTGTCATGAAGACGTTGTCGCCACGCATATCTGAATTAGACGGTTTTCGAGTCACTTGACACATTACAAATGTGTCTAATTGAATCATGGATACAGACCTGGGATCTATGCAGAATCGGTCAAGTTTTGTGAGACTCAGGATTTTCCCGAGCTCTGGCGAACACCCCCTTATGAACGAGTCATCACGAAAAAGTCCAATCCATCCCTCAGCGCTCTGCGTTTCATTTGGTGACGATGGAGCCAGTCATCGCGTCAAGGACGGTCGACCAAAGTTGGGCGGTGTTTTCAAACCAAACGCGTCTTTTTTTCATTTGTGTGTCTTTCTGCTGAACCAATGCAATAAAGGTGTCAGAAACTTTTCATGGTGTCATTTTTTTAAAGGCGCGGAATGTTTGAAATCATATTCAAGCTTTTATTGCCTGTACTAAGTATGTTTTGAAATGATCAGCACGGAGGCTTCTAACATCAGCACCGGCCGATCAACTTACAACATCGCGACCGCAGCTAAACCCGAGACACGTGTTAATCATCATAGTTAGCCTGCTGTTTCAAGCGCGCTGCTCGGCCGATGCACGTCGTCTTTGTTGTCATCATCCGCTAGCACCCGAGCACGTGCGGCCGGCTAATTAGCTATTAGGAGCGAAGCTTCTAAAGCCGTGAGCCTGTCCCTTCTAGCTCGTGGTACGAAGCCACCTAGTCCAACGACTCACTCAGCAGGTGCGGACGGACGGACCAACGTATGGGCCGATGGACAGACAGACGGACTGATGGACGTACGTACGGGTGGGCAGGCGCGGGCAGACAGACAGACAGACAGACAGACAGACAGACAGACAGACAGACAGACAGACAGACAGACAGACAGACAGACAGACAGACAGACAGACAGACAGACGGACGGACGGACGGACGGATGGATGGATGGACGGACAATTCTAGGTTTGCCAATAAAACCCTCTGGAGCTTCGCCCCATTCATCACCATTCACTCCGTGAATATGCTGTGATTTTTTTTGGCTGCACCATATACTTGGCTAGTTAGGCCATCACATGCTAGGCTAATTACGCCGAGTCATAGTAAGACCGAGGTAATTACGCCTCATCCTAAGATGACCGTGCTAATGAATCCATGTAAAGCTAGAAATGGGCTAACTAAAGTATGCTAGTTGATTAGCTAACTAGCCTATTCTAATTAACGTGACGTTAATCGTGAGCACGCTAAGCGAAATTTTGCAATTAGCCTTCTTTATGACGACAATTAGCATCCTGCTAATCAGGATTGCGTTTATTAGCTCCATACTTATCATGAACTTCCTAATAGCGCCCGAGATAATTGCTGTTTGATTGAATCAATTAAGACAAGGCAGATATGTGTAATAGGCCGTCAAGCCTCAGCCAATTATAGTACAACGAAAACTAAGACAAAGTTGATGCGGTGTTCACTTCGAAGCCGACCACGCACGATTTAGTGAACACTGCAAGAACTAAACTAGAGGTGGCTACATACAGGCTACAGGGGACGCACAGCCCACGCCCTAAGGAGCTTCGCCCCTAAAAGCAATTATTGCGCATGTCCGGGGCACCATAACAACACGCATATATTCTGCATGCGCGTCTCTTACTAGGAAAGGCATACAAAGGTAATTTTAAGGACCGCAACGCTTATCACGCTGCGCTGACCATGCAACGCCAGCACGGAAAGGCGATTGTTTCCAACGCTTTGCTAAAACTAAACGGTTGTGGCACCTACCCGTCGCCTCGCGTTCTACACCTTATCACCTCTGAGAAGGGCGCGCACACCCGTCTCAGAGACACGCGCTTTGTTTTCTAAGAAAACTGCCAGATGGCGCTTATGTCTCACGTGTGACGTGACTTGATGCGCTCGTTCGCCTCCGCTGCCCGCTCGAGGCACTCAAACGGAGCACCTCCGGAATGCCATTCACCGACTTTCTTGCGCAGAACATCAAATAAATGTCTTGTTAACTCTCTCCACACGCAAGTGACTATCGTCTTCCGACATTTACAGATTACGTGCAGATACGGGGCCAATTTTTTTTTTCACGTTCTAACGTTATAGCAGGCGCTTGTTGAGTTCACACTTCCCGTATAATTATACAAATTAACGCCCGAACACGCAACGTAGCGTTGAATGGCAAGTGCATACGTTACTTTTCTCAAAATGATTTCGAAACTGTGCCCATACAAGCGCACGCGTACCGAGCTGAAGCGTGACGTCCGTGTAACTTGTCAACCGGGTCGAGAATTTAATACTGCCTCGAAATGTGATTGCAGGCGCATAATCTTTATGCTGCTTGAAGTTCAAGCCTGAAATGCGAGCGCTGCTGATAGCTATATACGTTTATCAGAAGAAACTTTTAGTGACTCATGCATTATGATGCTGATCACTTATGTGTATTGTTGTTTTATTTCCAGTCTACGGCAGTTGTTTTTTTTTTTGCTTGCTTGATTTCTTTCTTAGAGATGTTTTTTCTCCCTTTCTTCGTCTTTTCTTCCTTTTTCGGCGTTCGTGTGATTGAGAGTCCGTCATATATTGCTTGCCCCCGCCTTATGCAATGCCCCGGGCCCTTAAGGCTTCAATAAATGAAATGAAATGAAATGCTATGCTATACAATGTCCTACGAGAGTGTCTCTCATCAGTTAGACGTGTACTTATGTACCGAATTAAAAAAAACACCTTTTACAATTAGCTAGTTGTTAAAAAATGTTCTAATTTTCTTGCGCAACTTTGAAAATAGTATGAAAGAAGCGAAAAAATACCTACAAAACACACTGGCGCAAATGTTATTATTATTATTCGATTTGCATACACAGATACAAAATGACACAGAGAAAAGAGGGAGAGAGCAAGCTGGAAACTGCCACCTGGAGGGGCTCAACGCCTGCTCACTCTTTCGGGAGGAGGGAAGAAACAGAGGAAACAAAGGTTAGAGGGGAGGAAGAGGAAAAATTAGGAAGGGAAAAAAAGACGAAGACTTCAACGAGTATGAGTAAAAAACATAAATAAAAATATTTAAGAAAAGACCACCTATAAACGGGTGACCAGGTCCATTTGGTTCATAAATGTAAGCAGAGCTCGGTGGGCCTAGTCCCGTCGGGGAGCACTACCACTCGGAAAGAGGTGGTCGTCTAGAGTCGCGCACTCGAGTCCCAGTAATTGATATTCCTTAATTAGCAAAGACCGCTGCGTAGCAAATGTGGGAAAGTGCACTACGAGATGCTCAAGTGTTTCGCATAAGCCACAAGCTGCGCACAACGGGCTGTCCACACGCCCTTGACAGTGTAATCGTTCACGCACCAGCACAGAGCCCACTCTTAGTTTGTACGACAGCGGTCGGGAACTACGAGGCAAGCCACGGCCACGAACACGACGAGGGAATGATTGATTCGCCACGCGCTGGTCTGGGTGCTGCTTTAGGAGGTGTCGGCGTATAAGCGCTGGCGCAAAGTATCAACTGTTTAATGCAGTGATGAATATGATATATACAGGAACCGCGCACATCCGCAGATATCCCTATCTACTGCTGCTAGCTAGCCTACGTTATCACCTCTATTTCATTTTCACCCAACGCCATCTACCGCACGACTGCTTTATATAGGGACTGAACGATGGTTAAAGAGGTTGGCTTTGCTGATGAAGGTCGAAGAAGCATGGGGCAATACTTGAATATTGAACATAATTCTTTATATGATGACCCATTAAGCAACACTGTAGTGAGCAGCGAATTTGTCTCTAGATTTATGTTAAACAACAGCAATGCATATCAAGAACCATTATCTTAAAGAGAAGCTTCAGACCCCATTAGCATGTAAGAGCATATAAATGAATCATAGAACCACCCCCCTCCCCTTTGTGTCTTTGCTGTCTGAGATTGATCGCTCTTAAAATGAAGAACTCAGTGTGGATAAAAATAGGAATCCCGTCAAGCGTTACCTGTCACTAGTTCCATTCAGGCACATAAGGCAGTTGACTAAAGACGATTCTTTTCATTTATACATTTATTGGGCTCCCTGCAAAAAACAATACGACGCCTAAGATGTGAATGAGCATAAGCCCTGTGTCAGCGGGGTTCACACTATGAGCTAGGGCAGTATTTCTAATGTTAGAGCAGAAATATTCCAGAAACGATTCGGTGAAAATTTTATTGGAGTTGTCACATAAACTGCAAACAATGCCAAACGAACGCCTTTGCGATGGAAATAGGAACAAAATAAATGCTGTGATTGCTGCAAAACAGCTGGCTGCAGAAACTTCAATAATTTCAGCTGCCATATCTTGCTGGACTTTTGGCAGCAAGCCCCGCAATGCCTCTAGAAGAGTGCACGTTAGAGTTTGTTTACGGATGGTTTTTTTTTTCTTTTCTTATGTACCATTGTTCTGCGCTCGCGATTACCACAGACAGCAAAGGTTTAAAAAGTGCCCTGCTCGTTTCGCGGTGGGCTGGTCCTTGTCAAACACCGGTACCATGATGCACTTTGCGGCGACTGCCGTGTTGCTCGCTTTCGCAGCCGACCTTGCGCAGGGCACCGTACAATACCACCAGCTGATCAAATGCAGCCGTAAGTTCGACTTCTCCGGTTGACTGTAGGTAATATTTATACGCCAATTCGCCCTTTCTCGAAGAAAACGCTAACTTTTAAATTGAGGGAAATGGGGGCCATCCTCGGTGTGTGACACAATTCAAAGGACCCACAGATTAATACCAGTTCAGTGGAGTACGACCTGGTTCATTTTGAAGAAAAGGTGTAACGGCTACAACTGCACTTTCCTTGCATCGCTGGCAATGTAGCCGGGAGTTACCCAGGGTAAAACAGAGATGTACAGTATAGATGCGAATGAATGTAAAAATATACCGAGAACATAAAAACAACACGTGACTTCTGTTTTTTTAATGTGACATTTCTGGGAGCACTTTTCGAAGATTGTTGACATATTTACTAAATCACATTTAGTGTTCACGCATATATTAACTTTTTTTCAGATAGATCAAATTATTAACCACGAACATTATAGGTGCTAGAAAAAAGTTAGAAAACGGAAGAAAACATGGAAAAATGTCTTGAACAATAATTTCCGCTGCGGCCGCCAAAACAATTACTACGCGTAGCACGAATCATTAAAGCGTAGTTGAAGTTTTCAATCTTTCATAATCCCAGGCGATCATTTTTCACGTGATATCCGCTTTGGTATTTTCACATTATTTTAATTTCATACGGCCTAGGGCAACAAGCGCTTCCTGAACCAAATTGATGCTGCTGGAATACGTTGTGGTCAGCTTGAGCCAGCGGCAAAACGAAACATCGCACATGTGCCTATCCTTTTCTTGCTTCCTGAGTGAAACTTGATCGTGCATGACTGTTCGTGTTGTCCTTTTGTATTATTCAACAGAAAACTACAGTGCTGAGGTGATGGGCGTGGTCACTAGGGACGCCATCATTGGCAGCCAGATGACTGCCAAGATCAAGCTGCGCGTCTACGACACCATCCTTAAAGAACTAAAATTAAGAGTCACACTCTTCACGCCCGAAGGTACAGTGGTACCATGTATCGAACACTTCGGATCGTGGTAAGTCTCCGGTGCATTCCTGAATGTTCCACTAGCTAGCAGATCTCAAGTGCTCTTGGACTAAGAAGGCCTCAAAAAGGGCATTGGTAGGGGGGGGGGGGGGGGGGGGGTACTTCGCCAATGTTAAATCAGTCAAAGGAGGATGGTGTGTTTCCTGTCTAGGGCAAGGGTGAGAAAGAATGCATGAATTACGTTAATCACGACAATGAACGGTGCGTTTAAGTAGTGCAGGTTAGGTTAAGTTAGGTCAGCCAGTGGTTCTCCCTGATGGCAGCTGCAAGTACTGACGGAAATTGAGTAGCCTATGGTAGCCGATGGAATGACATCAGAACATGCAGAGAAAAATAGAGCCACAGTATGAAGATTATTGCTTCTACCTGCTGAGCAATCATTATTTAAGACTGGCTAAGGCACCTAAAAGTAACATGCAATGTGGCGGAACAAAGCGATTTAGAAAGGGTCAGTGGATGTTACTTAATTTTAGTTCGAATAAAGGTGGCTGCGCATTTGTGCGGGAAGTAGTGGGAAAATACTGCACCAGGGTAGCCCATCCTCCTATGGAGAGAGAATGCATATAGCCAGACGAGGGTAACCAGTCAGTTTCATCGAAGAGAACGACAAAAAAAAAACATTTATTTTGAAAACTCAAGTCCAGGTTTGAGCTATCGGGAGAGGTTTCACTGACCTGCCTCAAGACGGTGAGTATATGCTTAAGAAGAATTGTCGACGAGGAGGTTGTTTTGCCCAGGTTTATGACCGAGGCCTCCCATGTAAGTTAGAGCGAAGTGGTTGCAAGGAAAACTGGCAAAGGCATTTGCTCGTCAGTCAGTCAGTCGGTCGGTCGGTCAGGCAGGCAGCAGGCTGCAGGTGTTGCTGCTGTTGTTGTCGTTGATGATGATGATTAGGATAATAGCTGTCCAAATCGCCGGGGGTCGATACATGTCAATCATGCCTAGTTCGAGTTTTTACAGACGAAGTGTGCTGAAGATGTACTGACAGCACGACAGACCATGTCTTACGGGCTCCTTGCCTCTTTAATTTCCCGCACACGCAATAGCGAAAACCACGAATGAGCTCTGCATGCTCAAGCAAATGAAAAAAAAAACCGTAAAAGGTGAAACGAGCCATATAAATATAATTTTGCTCAAGGATGAATATATTAGAGTACATAAACGCCTGGTCCATTCCTCATTAGGCATTCTACCTATCTGAACCATTCAGCCAGGTTAAAGCCCACTTTTCTTTCAAAACTTCCTTTTCTTTGCATCTTTTAAAGAATGGGCAACCTCCCATACCCAAATAAAAATTAAGAAGTAATCATACGCACTTCATTGAATCACTTAGCAGACTGTATCTAACAGCATACACAATGATACACAATGATGTCGAATACATAGTTCTTAAAAGTATTCCCCTTTGAAATATCATCCTCTATTTCGTGCCCGTACAAAACGCATACATCACTTGTATATAACTACCCCGCGCTAATCACTTAGCAATCGCAACTGTTGCGAATTGAAGTATACAACGGGTAAATGAAATCGCGCAGCTTGACCGTATGCAAAGCCATTCAGTGATGGTACCCTCTCGCCATCACGCTAATCGTCTTTGCATTCGCAGCGTCTATGACGTCTGCGAAGATGTTCCGGACGACAAGAAGACCATGTGGACGACCAAGTGCCCCGTGAAGCCGGGCACCTACTGGCGCAACTTGATCTTCCGAGTGTCGCCGAAACTGCTGAAGCACATTGGCGTAAGTGTCTTGAGGGGCGATTTTGTGCCGTCACCGTTACACAACGTAAACGCCGTGCAGACGAGTATATGCATACTGTTCGCGGTTCAGTTCAATAAGAGTACGTATAACATCGAAATGGAAGCTGCCGAAAAAATAAAGCGATCCTTAGCCGCATATATACTGTAATCTTACTGTAATCTTACTTTGTTTGATGGTTTGTATATTAACATGCCATTCAGCTCTGTTGTCTTTTATTCAGTGATGTTTTATTTTGAATAATGGAAAGTGTTTTTACAATTTGTGCTTGTTGTTTTATTTTGTTTTACGTCATAATCTCACGCGTATACTCATCTGATGTTCATTGCCGTTCTATTCCTATTAAAATTATTATTAATATTTTCTCATTGTTATTCCTGTTAGGACTTGTATAATAATTGACAATTAGTTCATGTTATTGTTTGTATGGAAATTGTTCCAATTCGTGTATGCAATTCTTTTATGCTCCCCTTACACAATGGCCTGTTGGGTCTGTAAGGTATTTTGAATAAATAAATAAATAAATAAATAAATAAATAAATAAATAGACAGACACTCCAAGGTTGCACGAAAATTTGGCTCGGTGCATCCATTTGCACAGAACGCCTTCCGCTTAACCCGTGTATGTCTACTCTGTAAGTGTAGGATCATGATCAGCACAGCTAACTACAACCATTGAAAATATTGGCTACGGTATGCTGCTTCAGAACAACTTGAGTCTTAGTTCTGAGTATTCTAATTGCTTAAAACTTGCAAAAAAACAGGTGTTTGCTGAAACAGAGGCACTTTTTAAGGCTCATCTCCTGATTAGGGTTCAGCCCTATCAATGTAACTGTCAGAACCCCATCTTCCTTTTTTGTTCCATCTCCATTTTTCAAGTTCACACCCTTGCCTTTCCTTCATCAGTATTTCTCTCCCTCTCTCAAGTGCTTATTGAATGAAACAAGTGCTCTCATAAGCTGCCCAAATATAGAGTTTTTTTTTTTTTAGTGCATAAATGTTTCGAGATAGCTCCCCAAGCGAAAATGTGTAGGCTGCCCTAATACTTGACTAAGGTGTGTGGTAGTCGCTGTGGTACGTCAGCGGTTGTGTGTCTCACGCAGTGCCGAAGATGATATCTAAGTCCATGTAGAAAAAAAGCATATGATTGAAATCTCCCACACGAGATGCCGCAACGATTACCTGCTGGTTACAAGCACAGAATCGGCTCTTTCAACGAGCAAACTCACTAACCGCTAGTATCTAGGGGCTTTGGGTTTTTTCAATGAGCAGACTCAATTATTGTTCACCGTTGTCTTAACTATTCCTTGGTGCTTATTCTAAAAATTTTAGGCGTCGATTTCGCATGTACCCGTTCAACATATTTAATGAGAACTTTCCAATAATACCAACTTGATTGTTAAAAAATGTTGTGTACACTCAAGAAATTTAATTAGGTGCTTGATAGGATACAGCTGAAAGAAAAACAAGGGTAACATTTGCTGCTGATGCCACTAAAAGATGGCATATACTCACAGCGTGATTGCATCTGCAGCGACATCTTTCGTGACATTTCTTTTTTTTTTTTACAGAGTGGCCACCTCATCGCTGCTTTGATGTTGGAAAGCAAAGGCAAGAAGCTTTCGTGTCAGGCACTTCACCTGCGCGTCTACAAGACAAGGCCGACAACGGACATTTGGGATTAGAATGCCGTATCGATGACGATTATAACAAGGGCGCATGGAGAGAAACACTGAACTTTGTGAAGAATAAAGAAACTACGTATGAATGGCAATGTTGAGTTTGGAAATGAAGTTAGACGCAATGGCTGAGCCATTGAGCTGCATCAAACGCAAAGGCGTGGCAGCACTGGAGATATATTATGTACTTAGGTGTCACAACACCACTATTGTCATATGTTTTTCTGTAGGCAGTAAGTGCTAAGTGTAGGAACTTGTCATATGGCTATCCCATATTCAGTTGAGTTATTTCTGCCTGAGTTATGCCTCCTTGTTCACTCTCAAAAGAGGGAACAAGCAGGCACAATTTTCCCGAATGGTGAATTCTCCGTGCATAGTTCAAGTAAAAAAGTGTTTCATGATGTCTACCCATCTACAAAACGTTCGAGATTAGCAAAAAAAAAGCAGACTTGCACTTGACCTGGCAACATTACCTCTAGTAAAAATTATGATCATGATGTAGTATGCCATGTCAGTCTATAAGTCAGGAGCATAATTCTTTAGAATTTTACATTCGTCATCAAGGTATGAGACGCGAACTTCCCCCCGAGCGTGTTTATAGTAGATGCTTCTGGCTTTACAATACCGAATTTATTAACGGATGTTTCTAAGTTAACTTTTTTTTAAATCAGAAAACTTTCGCCTACAACGAATGAAGTGGTACTTCGCTTTCAATACCTTTCTATCTTATCATTGTGAGCCCACACTACTGCACGTATTTGGTTAATGGAAACTGTACAATCGACAAGAAGGGCCATTTTAGGAGCGAAGCTCCTTCAGCCGTGGGTCGTGCTTCCTCGGTGCATGTTGTTGTTGTTGTTGTTGTTGTTGTTGTTGTTGTTGTTGTAGTAGTAGTAGTAGTAGTAGTAGTAGTAGTAGTAGTTAGCCACCTCTCGTTCAGTCCTTGAAATACCCGCTAGATGGCAGTATTTGTATTTGATGAATATGTGATGAAAAGATCTGAGATGGCGGTACTTGGTATGGTCACTAAATGGGCGGACGAATGGACGAACATACATACAGACAAATGCACGGACGGACGAGTGGACGGACGGGCGGAAAGACAGATTGAAAGACAGAGAAACGCACGGACACAATCATGAAATGATGCGAGATAGCGCTATGAGTGTTCACTAGACGAGCAGATGGAAGAACACACAGAGAGACGGACATACGGACAGATAGATGGACGGACCGGCAGACATACATACGGACGCATAGACGCATGAACTGACGCTTCATCACACTAATCATCATTCCCTCCGTGGATATACTGAGATTTTTTAGTGGAACGAGGTGACTTTGCCACAGCACAAGTCATTATTGAAGCAAAACAACATGAAGAGATGTGTTGAGAAGTGTTTAATGATTCAGAGTACTTAGTACTCTATCATGGGGGAGCTGCAAGCCGTCCCAGTAAACAATCGTGCAGTACCAGCGCACAAGAACCGTTTGACAAATCGCAGTAGTATTCAACGTAAGTAAAGTAGACTTACCCCAGATATTTCTCACCCGTTCTATGTAGGATTAAAAGTCATTCAGATCCAGAATTCATGGTAACACATGGCACGAGCAGTTTTCTACATTACATCACCAAGACTTCAAAAGTTTTAGCTAAACTTTCTTTATATTATGATAAATGTTCTCAGCATGTTCAATTTACGTGCTTTGCGATATGCCGCGCAGCTTGTCCTTTCAATTGTGGCGAAAAGGCTAGAGGCCATGTGTCTATAGGTTTGGGTGTACGGCGAAAAACTCCAGTCAGCCAGAGCTGCACTGTCGTCGGAGATCGCGAGGGCACAACCGGTCGGCACGAAATACAGCGACCACACAGGCGGGTTGATGGACGCTTCACCCCATTCATCAGTATTCCCTCTGTGGATATGCTGTGACTTTTTATTGTTTCGCGATATAAACATCCCCCATAGGACAAAAATATTTCGTTATATCGCGTACTTTGGTATGGGAACGAGAAAGTATGAATTCTAAAGTTTCTATATTATTTAGTTTATTGTATTTTTGTCAGCAGAACAGGTTATGGTAAAAACTTGATTGTAATCTACACCTCAGTGTAGTAGGTTCGTTGATATTTGTCAAGTGGGTCGATACTTTTCCATACGTCATCCAACTATTTCTTTATAAAATGGTGTTCAGCAGTGACCCAGCTACACTTCGAGCCTTAAACATGTTAAGGTTGTTTTTGCAGAGCTAACTCTGTAAATGGATTATGTGTGGCTTAGGACACACATACCTTTAAGAGAAATGAAAAAAAGCTGATTCAGCGATATTTCAGTGGCAATTAAGAACTTTTCGGTGGTTAATTTGATCCCCGTTTTTTTACAGTGCCGGCCATAGCCATGCCCTGCGTTTAAAACGCAGAATTACTTAGCCGCACTTCCAAAAGAGAAATTTACAGTCACACATGAAGCTCTAGCCCTCTCTCAACAGAGATCGGAGGTCGACGTGGCAGAAGAGTTCTGTGCCAACTTATTTGGTCAACTCGCAGATCCCAACATCTCCACGCTCTCACGTGGTGGCAAGACATCACACGATCACCACATGGACCAATTTTTTTCTATTCATGAGCTTAAAGCAGCACTGGCTTTGTGTAGACGGACATCAGCACCCAGGCCTGATGGAATATCATACAGAGCACTGTGTCACCTTGGTGAGTGTGCGAGGAGTGCCCTCCTCGAGATATACAACGAATCGTGGCGAGAGGGCACCCTCCCAGTTAACTGGAAGACCAGCCGTTTGGTCCCATTACTGAAGCCTGGCAAGTCACCATTGGTGCTCACATCATACCGCCCGATTGCACTGGCTAGTTGCTTGGGCAAAGTGATAGAGAGGATGGTACTTGGACGGCTAGAATGGTTCCTGGAGCATCACAACATCTACTTGGACGCTATGACGGGATTTCGCCGTGGCCGGTCATCAATTGATAGCGTCATAGACCTGGTCAGCTACGTGCAACACGAAAAAGGCCGTAAGCGTTTCTGCGCTTCTTTATTTCTTGATGTTAAAGGGGCGTACGATAACGTCACACATGAAGCTGTCCTCACCGCTCTCAAGGAGGTAAAAGTGGGTGGTCGGATGTTTCAGTGACTACGCAGCTATCTCTCTGAGCGATCCTTTTTCGTGAGAACCGAGGAAGGTGACACTTCGCTACATTACAGCCACCGTGGTGTTCCCCAGGGTGGCATACTTAGCCCTGTACTATTCAACCTGACGCTAATAGCTCTCAATGAGCATCTGCCAAGTACTGTCAGAGTGTCAATGTACGCGGACGACATCTGCGTTTGGACGTCTGCAGCAACACGTCTACAGCTGCGAGCGCGAATTCAGAGAGCTGCCACTCAAGTTGCTATTTACCTCCGTCAACGAGGTCTGGAAATTTCCTCTGAGAAATGCGCACTTGTGGCATTTACGCGCAAACAAATGCAGAACTACAGCGTTGTGATAAACAGCTAAAGGATACGTCACTTCGATCATACAAGTTCTTAGGTGTTTTAATTGACAGAGACCTCTCATGGAGCTCACATGTATCATACATGAAAAGGCGACTGACAGGCATCTGTCATTTGTTCAAGTTCTTCGCTGGAAAGAACTGGGGAATGCCCACAACTGCTATGTTGCGACTATACAGGTTTCTTTTCCTTTGATTCTTTCGGTACAGCCTACCTGTGTTAACCAACGCAAGTAAAACAAGCCTACGAATGCTTCAAAGTGTCCAGGCTCAAGCACTCCGGATATGTTTAGGCTTGCCCCAAAGTGCGTCAACAGCGGCAACTATCGCCATCACAAGGGATAACCTCATCAAGACCCACATTAATGTGGAAGTGCTGAGGACACATATGCGACACCTTGCTCGAACTCCTCGACATCACCTAGCCTCTCTACCAGTGGTCCGACCATGCACATCTTACTGCAAAACAGCGACCGCACATGGTGAGTCGATCCCAACTTCGTTCTCTCCTGCCGCTAGACCTGTGACTCCGCCATGGTGCCTCGCTCAACCAGTGATTAATAATAACATACCTGGCGTCCAGAAAAAGGCCAATTTGTCGTCCCCGGCTCTTAAACAGCTCACACTACTTCTCGTGTATGAGAAATACATATACTCCACACATATATACACTGACGGATCGGTTCAGCCGGACAGCTCTACAGGAGCAGTAGTGATACCAAGGTTGGCCACGACAATTAAATTCAAGACATCTCACGCAACAACATCAACGGCAGCAGAATTGGCAGCACTTCGTGCCGCGTTGCAATTTGTAGTTGATCAACCTACACGCAAGTGGACTATTTTCTGCGACTCGAAGGCGGCACTGCAGTCTCTACTATCAGCCTTACGCCGTGGACCACACGAACAGCTGGTACTAAAGATAGCAGAGGTTATACACCACCTGACTCAGAAAGGGCACCAAATTACATTTCAGTGGTTGCCCAGTCACTGCGGAATCATCGGCAATGAACGCGCCGATCAAGCTGCCCGCTCAGACCACACAGAAGATCATAAACTACAACTACCACTTTCTAGGACAGATGCTGCACGAAGGCTCCGCAGGCTTGCTCGCCAGCAAACCACATCGCAATGGAATCAGCCGCACTTCAAGCATGCCCGACTGTACTCGCTTGACCCTACGCTAAGTCTTCAAGTCCCGTCGAGGCTTTGCCGAGCAGACCAGACCCTGTTATGTAGGCTGTGGTTGGGCGTTGCGTTTACCAACACCTACGCTTTCCGCATTGGGATGGCCGACACCGCAGCCTGTGGCCACTGTGGCAAAGAAGAAACGACCCAACATATTCTTTGTGACTGCCTAGCGTATAGTAAACAACGACTATTGCCTTCGCAAGGAATTCAGCAAATTAGATAATCAACCTCTTTCGGAGCAAGTAATTCTACAATATCGACAAGATGCAACTTCACAGAAGAAGGCCCTGAAAGCGCTACTACACTTTTTGCGATCGACCGGCCTTACTGAACGGTTGTAGCAAGGACGCCCTTCCTGTGTGTGTTTTCGTTTTCTTATGAGTACGCGTGCGTTTTCTTTTTCTCTATCTACCTCCTCTTTCTTGACCATACTTCTCCGCCCCCAGCGCTGGGTAGCAAACCAGATGTCAATATCTGGTTGACCTCCCAGCCTTTCCTCTCTCTCTCTCTCTCTCTCTCTCTCTCTCTCTCTCTCTCTCTCTCTCTCTCTCTCTCTCTCTCTCTCTCTCTCTCTCTCTCTCTCTCTCTCTCTCTCTCTCTCTCTTTCTCTCTCTCTCTCTATAGTCACACGTATGTGGATCTCTTTAAAAAAATAATTTAAGTGCAGCTTCAGTTATCGTTAACTTTATTTCTACTGAAGCATGTTGATTCCTCTAAAGTTATTTCACAGTGAAATTCATCCAGAGGATTGCGCCAAAGCAAAAGTTTTTTTTTTTTTTCGTGACTATAGGTCTGACCAGTGTTGCGTATTTTCGTGTATTAAGAGAACTTGACATAAATAATGCATGAATAAAACGATGCTTTGTGACTCTCATTTATTGCTGGAACAGAAACCAAAATTTGCGGCAGTAATTTACACGCGTCAGTTATTCCTAGCAGCACGAACGGCATAATGATGATTCCACTGCACTCCTCTGGAGTAGCGAAAAACGCGCAACGTCTCAGCATGCCTGCCTTCACGAAGGACGTTCTCGACAAGGTCTACAGCATAGTGAAAACCAGCCAAGCGTGAAACGCGTTTGCTGGCACACCAAACAAATTCAAAGGTACTCTTTACTATCTTCTATGGACGCGTGGTTTGGTGCCGCAGCTGCAGTTCTATTGCTCTGAACAGCCGAGCTTGTCAGAAGGTATCGAGAGGTGCAGTGTGTGTGTGTTTAAAAGGAGGGGGGGGGGGGAGAGGCTCTCACATAATACTGCTGACAAATATGCGCCTCGTGATATTCGCCTTTCCGTGTGCTAATATTGTGTTATTTATTGTCAACACTAAGTGGGCACCATGAGATATTGCACTAATTAGCTCTGAAACGTACACCTTCAGTGTATTTTCGAACGTATCAAATGTTTTCACCTATTTGTAAACCTCCAGGCGTTCTGCCACTGCTACAACGCGCAATGTGCTAATAAATGGTTTTGAACCAACTGGTGGGTCAAAGGAACACGGACGTATTTTCTCAATGTCTTGATATGTGCGCGCCAAAACAAGTGGGCTCACTTCAAGAACAAACCTGTTTCTTCCTCACGTTTTAAAAAGCCTTTGCAGTCAAAGTCTGATAAATATTAACGCTAATACTCGTACAGCACGTTTTTGATGTGAAAACCTGTATGCGAACAATTTTCTTCTGTGTACCAAATAAGATGACATACCCGAAATTACCTAACTAACAATATCAAAAGTTTGCAGGATGATAACCAACGTTGCAGCGCCCTTACAGCTGTTGATACCGAGACACGGTCTTGCTTTTCAAAGGAAATACATTCGTCATAACAGGCATTGTATTGAAGTCACGGTAAAAATTGATCTATTGTTGGGACTCTTGTCCTGACGTGACAATTGTGGTTCGGGCTGTGGTGAGACGATGCAATTAATGTCGTTGACGATGCGAAGCACTGTCGCCTTTCAAGTAAGGAACAAAATTTAATGCAGTTTAATGGGTAGAAAAGCAATATAGAAAATGAAATAGCTTCGTTTACAAGATATATACCTTAGAAACCAAAACACCGCCTAACAGTTACTCACATATGTTCCCGCCAAAAAAAAACGTAATAGAAAATAGCGCGAGATGTTTCCGCCGCAATTACGAAACACGTGTGTAGTCTAGGGAACGGACCGCCCGAAATAGTGAGACGGATAGCCAAGCCCAGCCACGAGTGGTACTACAACGCCTAAAGAAAACTTAGCCCCTCTAGATGTAACCTCGAATTACTATCAAGAACTTAGAAAAAGCTAGGTTAAACACAGGCTCTGCAGTTCGTTCCAGCCTTGAACCCCATGTGCACAATGCGCATATTTTTTTCTTATTCCCTCCTATATATATATATATATATATATATATATATATATATATATATATATATATATATATATATATATATATATATATATATATATATATATATATATATATATATATATATATACTTTTATGAGAATATTTTGGACTGCTGGTAGTATTAGAAGTGCGCTCATCAAATGACGTGATAATACACGTGACGTGAATATAACTAATGTCAATTGAATGGGTTTTATGTATGAGGGATCAAAAGTTTGTTATCGGCTTGCTTTGCCAGAAAAAAAATAACGTAAGTAGGAGAAAGCTTATGAATTGTTGTCGACCTTACAAGCAGGAGTATGACATGTCATACCACTTTTTGTTATTGAAATGAAACAGAAGCTGTGTAATGGTGGCTCAAAGTGCTTGGCATCAAATAGTGTTTATAAAAATCGACGCTATGGGAAGGTACTTTTAGCTGAATCAACTATTTATTTCGTGTGTAGACACGATTATTCACCGATTTATGAGTGACAGTTGTCAATGTGTCAGTGAGGCTAGTGTAAAGTGAATTACTATAGATAAACCATAGTGCTACTACTGAAACATTGCTGCTTGAATGCGAAGATGGTTGGCTTGAACTTTGAAGGCACTGCCGAAGACTTTATCCACAAGCAGTATTTCGTGTTCGCCTATATGATGGCTCATGAAACAGTATTGACTGCCCACAAGCAATCTTCATTGTATGGTCGTAGAAGGCTTTTGACAGGAACTAATCGTGAACCAGAAACACAGACACATGGAAGGAGCAAAAGAGAGGCCCAATTTTCCGGTTTATTGCAATATGCTTCTAACAGGAACTTCTGGTTTCGTACATACAGGCTTGAGAGTCCGCCTGGGCTTATGTTTCTGAATTTTTCTGTGATAACCTGGTTATAATACGCAAGTTCTGTACAATTATGTGAAGTAATTAAAACGAGTTGTCCAAGTTTGAACCTTTCTTAGGTATGAGGTGGAAAATTTTCGTCTTAAGGATGTCTATCGAAGAAAAAGTGAGAGAGGGTGCCAGTGTACACTGACTGCATAACATACTCATAAAGACTGAAGTGAGGTTTAACGACGTGGTCATTTATTTGAAATATTGCGACTGAAATAACGACAATGAGAGAGGCCATAAAGATCATTTTCTTGTGAAGGATAAGCAGGCCACGTTAGCGTAAAACCAATGACAAGGACATCAAACGCTGTCCTTGTCAGCCTCTTCTGTCCGTCTGTTTTTAGTGCGCTACAACAAAATTTCCAATCATGAACGTAATCCAACTGGCGCAACTTGCGGTCTTGCTGAAAACAAGCTTTGTTTGCACCCACAAAATAGTTTCATCAGCTTAACGCCTGCAGTGTTCTCCAATGCTACCGGCCTTTCTCTGAGATCACAAGCAAAACGGAAAAAAAAAATTACGGCCAAAGCAGCTTTTGTTTTAGCATTTGTAGAGGCTGAACACTAGATTCCCGGTTTCTGTTCACACCTGCTGAAGATCTCTCATCACAATGGCCCTCACTGAAATAGCCCTCGTACTGAATGCAGTTTATGTTCGAGGTGTCCACGAAACTTCTTTTTTTTTCTTTTCCGCTGCTAACCTTACGTATATCTATTCTCTAGAGAATCTCGTTTTTGGGAGTTTGCATAAAACATCGGTGCACTGGTTTGAAGAACTTCTTCTCTTCTTATGACTCACCAGAGTACTCACAAACCGTCGTCTGAAACACCTGGAGCCAGGATTCATAACAAATAATAAGGTGGAAATAAGGCCTGTCTTTCAATCTCCGTTTTTGAAAAGACACCTAAAAATCGCTTCTATTCAAACTATAATTTCGAACTGACTCGGATCCACGTCTTTTTTTTTTTGTTGTTGTTGTTGGCGAGTACGTCCAGACGAGAGTGCTGAGAAAGAGTTACCGACACCCGGTTTGACTCCTAGGGTCTTCGAAAGAAAGAAGATAACGAAGAGAACGGCTCCTGGGACCTCCTAAAGAAAGAAGGGAACAAAGAGAACGGCTCCTAGGGCCTTCTAAAGAAAGAAGAGAACGGTTATGAGGAGTGCTGCCACTCAAAAAGCAGACTACGATTGTCGCCCTTCGTTTAGCATTTGTAAATTAATTTCTTTTCTGGTCCAGGCTTCTGTTTTTTTCACTTCACTTCGGCTCTTTGTCGGTGCGAAAGGGAAGGCTCGTTACAAAGGCTACTTATATAGCCTCCTCGTAGGTTGATCCCGGAGTCGCAGGCCGTTGTTTTGTGCCTCACAGACCACAGCCAGCCGCCATGACGTTCGCCATCGTCGCCGTGCTGCTGGGATCTCTTGGCGGTGGTGGTGAAACTCCCGTGCAGTTTCTTCCTATGCTCAGATGCGATAGTAAGTCTAGCACCGTTGTGCCCCACCGCTGCATTCAAGATTAGCGCGGCAAGCCGCTTCACAAAATGATTGGTAATATTAAACACGGTGATTCAGTAAGGAAGAGGGCTTGCCCTCTTCCTTTCTGAATAGATAGATAGATAAGGAGTAATGAAAAGTAATTGTACAGAGAGTGTCACTGGCGCCGACGTTTCTTCAAGAACAATCGTCTGCTACACATCTACGCTCTCTTCTTGTCCACTTGTTGAAGCGTTGAGTCCAGCTGCGTACTCTGCTTAGCGATTTTCAACGCTTCAGACCTCCTTCTAGCAATGAGCATCTGTTTCGTTCAAGTGAGGAATAGACAGACGTACGCCTTTACGAACTCCCACGCTCACTCTACAGCCTTGACTAAAAGTCATACATGCTGATTCGTTGTAGTTGGTTTGCACCAACAGACGTATTTTATGTTCTTCAGCGTTGTCATGTGACTATATGAGCAGAGCAATGAAACAGATAGCACGCTAGATGCCAAGGAAATGGACGTCGTCCAATCCAGTGTGTTGGTCTTTGTGACCGTGAAAACGGTAACCTTATACTCGCTCCTATCAAATTGAATGATGCGTTTAGCTGCAGAACACAGTAATATGTCACGCAGTACATGCTTATTTTAATTTAAGTGAAGAAGGTTCGTAGATCTCGGGCAATACTTCACTGGTCTAAGTAATAGTTTCACAGTCAGGGACGAACCAGTAGAGTTCCTGGTAGACCAGAATAGTGGATTAGAGGGTCACCTATCTGGTAATGCGTGTTCGTACATTTGAGTTTTTTAGCGGGTGCAACACAATAGCAATCAGAAACATGAATGCTCTCTAACACTGCCTCCTTGAGCGAAGGTTGCAATGATACGAGGAGGATCGAATGCGAGCGAATCTCAACTCTTACTTGAAAGAATCGAGTGACACGGTCACAAAATTACTTTCTATTCCTGAATGTCTATTCCTGAACAAAGTGTTGTATTTGGTAAACGATATCAGCCTTTACACCGGTAAAGTAGACCTTTGCTGCTGAATTGGGACCTCTTTTTTGGAAGTACGCTGACGACGCCACTTATGGAACTTTCTTTTAACGTGACCATCTACCTACCCACATATTGTAAAATTACATTTAGACACAAATCGATTGGGCGTTGGCGTGGACTACTTTTCCGGACAGAAAGATATGAAGAAAATATGCCTGCGTCTTAAACAATGTGAAATAACGTTAAACGAACAATGTAGATTACGTAACAACGCGCACCTCTTCTCTTAATCAAGTTGGTGTACTTTCTAAGAAGGGTTACAAATTAGTGCTAGGCCAAGAAGAACGATTGAGCTGGTGGCTTGGGACGAAATGCTGACACTCATAAGAACTGAAAAGTAACTGAAAACTGTGATTCTCGCGGTGCGTCGCAACAGTTTTTTTTTTACATCTTTTTGTGGTTCGCTTGTACAAGCAACCTGGTTGCTTCATTTGAGAATATATATCCAAACACATGTAAAATTGCTTTCAACCTATCACCTCTGAAAACTTGGAAAAAGGGGGAGCGGGGCGAATCACACAAACATGTACGCAATCATAAGCACAAGTATCTCAAGAGCTTTCTAAACAAGGCGCCTTGAGAGGAGCCGTCCTGGTTCAGGTGGCAAGACGGTAAGTTGGGCCAGTTGGTTAGGATCCATCGTGAACTTACAGCGCAACACCAGAAAAAAAATACAGGACAGGGAAGGATCAAAAGAGCCGTCTTTTCTTTTCTCTTTTGCTCCTTCCCTGTCCTGTATTTTTTCCGGTGTTGTGCTGTAAGCTGGTTCAGGTGATCGTGGTCTGGGATTGATTGTGATTGTGAAATGGTATAGTCGCTTGATAGCGCAGATGATACATTCGAAGCGTGATTCAATAGCATGAATGTATGCTTACAAATAAGTTTTTCACAGAACAGGGTAAATTGTGCAGAGCACATAGATGCAAGGACAGATGGGTGAGGCCTTTTCTAACGAGTGCTCACGAAAACGCAGGTAACCACACTGCTGATATAATGCGTGTGACGACAAAAGATGCTGTGGTGAACTCCACCATGAAGGCCAAGATCAAGCTGCGCGTCTACGATACGATTCTCAAGGACCTGAAACTGAGATTGACTATGTTCACACCGGAGGGCCACATCGTGCCATGCATTGACGGCTTCGGAAGCTGGTAAGTGAATTCTACGGAAAGGTGCGGTCACAATAGGTCCCTTGTATGACCGTGAGGTTTTGTCATACGTTATGTGAAGTAGTATCTACTGTTGTTTGCCGCGGCTTTGGTTAATGGTTTGCTTACGGCTGCGTGAACCACATTTCAGAGTGACCTTGAAGATGATGGGTGGTTTGTAATGGCGCAAGGGCCAATTGATGGCCAAAGAGCGCCATTTCTAAAGACTAGAGACATGAACGATGATATGATGCGTGTCTGTAAAGGGGCATTAAAAGTCCACGCGCTAACGCGGGTAAAAGCATGGAAGTAATAAAATCATGACAGTGGCGTGAGATATGTGCAGTTAAAGTACATGGCAAAATGTCATGATAATAAAACCACGATGGAGATGTATAGTCACCGCAGCCACGACGACGGTACAGAGGTCGTGCTACGGATTACCTCGAAATAGGGGTTGAAAGCTACGAACATCTTTTAAAAACGTGAAAAGTGATTGCAGTTGAAAAAGCGGGTCCCTACCGATGAGAATCCCAGGGTGTAGTGGGAGCTGCTGTTGGTGGGGCAGTAAAAAGTGCTTTTTTTCTCAGAACATCAAGCTCATTGCACTGGACGAGAATCGAAGTTAAAGTTAAAAGACAAGGGACAAGGCAAAAAACGAACCATGGTTATACCTGGTTAAACCGAATTGGTCTTGCGATAGCGCAAACTTCCCTGAAAAGCAAGCAGCCCGCCACCTTGTGGCACTCGCTGAACAATGTACAGTGGTGCGCGGGAGAGAGCGAACCAACAATGCGCGTGTGTTTTGCTGGCTTTGCTGTGACGACGCTCGTGCGAGAAGGAAGGCAACAGTATTCAGGGTGGGTGAACCTTGGGGCCAAACGGGCACACAAGATTGGTTTGTCGGTTCGTACAAGGGGAGAATAAGCTTTCTCTTAAACACTAAAGCAATAGGACAGGCAAAGTCTCTCTTTTGTCCAGTTATGTGTACTCGCGCTTCGAAGTTCTACCATGCAATACGAGCAAGCGGATTTGATAGCATTGCGTACATTTCAAGTACAAAACAAGGGTATCAGTTGTTTATAGAATTTGGTAAGATTGAATAACACTTCATAATAATCCACGCCTCCGTGGCGTGATTTGTCTTCTGCTATTGCTGCTCAAATGTCAACCTTGTAGTTAGCCATTGGCTTCTCTATATGAGTGTTCTATAAGCAAATTCGTTTAGCTGTGGCCATATCGCTGCGCAATGGTGACCTTGAAGGGCTACTGGTAAAATTCCTAGATTGGTGCTCTACAAGACAATCTTGTCAGAGGGCAGTATTGTAGGTCCTACAATTCTCTGGGTGTCGGTACTCAGTCCGCATAAGTTAATTTATTGTGGCGAATAGCCCGAAACAGACGAAGCATGAAAAAGTAAACTCAGGCACAGCTGCTACGCGATCTGAGAATTTTTAACAATTGAAATCGGCCACCTGAGACATATCCCATGAAAAGAGCAATATTAGGTGATGAACGATTAAAATAGTGCGTCTATAGACTAGATAGGCTGTCGCTAAAACGCAGAGCACGACTGACACTTTTTTTTATTTAAAAACGTGGCAATTTGGGATAGTTGGTGTGGCATGACGATTGTTGTAGAGCGAGATGAGATCAATGACAAACAGACACCTTGTCGTCGGCATTGTTGTCGTATTCATCGTCGTCTTCTTGTCCCTTTGTCATCGTCCTGATCTCGCGCTATAACAATCGTCATGACATTTTTTTTAAAGCGAGGACATCGCGTGCAGTGGTTGCTTGCTATAAAATTTGTCTGTCCATGTTTGAGTGTCTCGTTAAACACATCTGTGAGATTAATGTTACGGCCCGCTTGGCTACTATCCTTTTCATATTTATGTTCAGACTGTCATGCACAGTTACCAAAAAAGTAATAAACGATGATTTATCCCAACAAATTATTATTTCGAATAAATATCTGTGCTACAAAACTGATAGCTGGGCGAGTCGGTATGCATGCATATTTCAACTTTTTTACCACCCACAGAACACAAAGACAAGCACGACAGCAATGTTAGCTCTCTCGTGCCCCTTTCTTATCCTTATGTTCTGAGCGCGCTAAAGAAGGGTTACACTATCAAAATCAGCGCCAATGAACACGACAGCGTGCGTTACAAGAGAGATGGGCGAAATTGCGCAATCACTAGTACGAGGTAACACGAAATGTACGACTTATATTTTTTTTTTTTGTAGCACGCACGACTTCTGCAATACGAACAAGAACACGACGATGCTCTTGGGCAACGGAACCGAGCCCGATTACGGCGTCCAGTGCCCCGTGCGCCCGGGTACCTATTACCGCACGCTGGATTTCAAGCTTTCGCCCAAGCTCACCAAACACATTGGCGTAAGTACGTCGCAAGTGCGTGCTGCATTTCCGAGCCTGCGAACAATAGTGAACCATCAAGTGACCTTGCAACACAATGCCACGTGACCACATGTTAGCGCGGTAACTGGCCCCCAGCATCAAGACTGACTGAGTGTGACACACTCGGTCGGTCAGTGCTTGTGCGTGTGTTGTGTGCGCATCAGTGTTGTAGCCGGCCTGACTGCGAAATGACAGCTGACGCAGCGGATAACTAGTTTACTACTGATGTCATTGTGGCGCATGTCATACGCAATTCAATGGAGGGTATACCTCATTAGTTCGTTTAGAAAACAATACGTGATTCTGTGCTACCAAACATTCTACATGGCGTGACAAATGTCACTTCTACATTTGACGCGTGTTTTCGCAAGAACGTAATGAACAGCGAATACAGAGGGCTGCATAACTGCTGGTCAAAAAGACATATTAAGGCTACGTGTGTTTGTACGCACGCACGCACACACACACAGGCGCACCCACACACACACACACATACACACACACACACTCACTCACTTCTCAACTGCATTGCTTCTAGGAAGTGATCAGAACATAGCTTGCTTGCTTGCTTTCTTTCTTTCTTTCTTTCTTTCTTTCTTTCTTTCTTTCTTTCTTTCTTTCTTTCTTTCTTTCTTTCTTTCTTTCTTTGTGCTTACTCGTATGTGGATGTTCATCTGTTCACAGAACGGTGAGCTTCTCGGGACTATGCAACTTGAGAGCGGAAGAAAGGTGGTCGCATGCCAGGCCTATTACATGATGCTCTACCCTAAGAGGCCTACAGCAAAGGAATGGTACTAGACGGCGCTGCCAGCAAAACTTGCCCCATAGCCTCACCAGGACGGTTCACAGCTGCGCAACTCAATAAATTGACAATACGATCGACATGGAAGCAAACAGTCGCTTGCTTTACACGCCAATACTGTGTCTCACTTGATTTAAAACTTATAACGCATACCAGAGGCTCAGTGTTCAGTCGTAATAAAGTTGAAAGAAGCAAATTCGGTCCACAATCGCGCGAACTTTTCAGCACGCTGACGCGCATTCCAGAGTTTTGCTTTGCTTCTTTGCGTTCAAGTATGGCTTACTTTGCACTCCAATATGTATTTCACGTACGCTGATCGTATGTATGTATGTATGTATGTATGTATGTATGTATGTATGTATGTATGTATGTATGTATGTATGTATGTATGTATGTATGTATGTATGTATGTATGTATGTATGTATGTATGTGTGTGTGTATGTATGTGTGTGTGTGTATGTATGTATGATTATGTATGTATGTATGTATGTATGTATGTATGTATGTATGTATGTATGTATGTATGTATGTATGTATGTATGTATGTATGTATGTATGTATGTATGTATGTATGTACGTGGATAGAAGAATAGTTCTTGGCAATCAGGAACCTAAAAGGGCAAAGAGTCGATACGAAAGTCTACACGTAGAAATATTAACGACCACAACAACGGCCTTCGCCGGAAAGCTCAATCACAAGGATATTATGCAATGGTGAAAGGAACGTTCGCCACACAAAGCATGGTCATGCGTTAACACAAGTATTCGGCTGTTCTTCGTAAACCACGTTAAAGACAACCTGAACAAGTCTTGGAATTCGATAAAACTTCGTAGTTAGCAGGAACCAGCGTTATTCGCGTTGATGTAATTTTTTTTTCCGTGGTTGTAGCAGTCGGAGCTCCACAAAAGGCGAAAGAGCAATTGCTCTTGTTCCTTTTACCTCAGCGCGACAAATGTGGGGACATGGAAAAAAACAACAACCCCGGTTTCTTTGGCGCAGCCGAGTTGCACTGCTTCGGAAAGTTCTCGCCACTGACTAATCAAAACTGCGAGAACGCTATTTATATGACGAAGGCTCTGGTGAGTGCAGCGAATCCAAAAGTTCAGCAGCTGGATTACGATATTTAGAATAATGACAAACAGCAGCGGAGTGCTACCTGAACAACTGGAACTGCTTGAACTGATAGAGGAGGCCACGCTTATACAATACTAACCTTGCAGTTAATGGGGCAAACCGAAGATGACGTCATCGAGTTATTTCAGCATCTCAAGAAGCCCTGCGGCCCGTGCCTCTGTTTCTTTCTTTCTTTCCGTTTGCCAAAAAGTCATAGCGGCGTTCACTTTTGAGTCACCCCGCCTTTCGAAATGAGCAGAGATCAAACTGTCCTAACACGCTCCTGAGTAATTCTTATAGGGTTCGTCAGCTTCCTGACAACACCTTGGGTACCATGTACGTGAAATATATGCACGTATGCGTCCATCTATCATGTGAGAATATAGTCATACTTACGTTTATTTGCCCGTGCAAGTTTAGCTATGGATAACGGCGTGACACACGGGGCATAGTGAACGCAGAAATTGAGAAATAGTTCAATTTAGCATGTGTATATGAACAGGCACGCCTATGAAACTATGTACAAACGTGCATTGAGTATGCTCAAACCCCTGCCTTTCCTACCTCACCGAAAATGTTCCGGCTACGTCACCGCCTTTTGCTATACATATTATTGTGCGGTTACCACACACAGCTAGAGCTCGAGAACCCACAATTTTACCTGTGCGTGCGCGCACAGCCTTCAGCGACATCAATCGCTGAATGGTGTTTCTGGAAGACGAATTCGGCCGGTGAGCACTGTGGAAAAAAAAAAGTACGAAAAAGGAACGAAATGCCCGGACACAAAGACACGCGACGCCCGTGCCCTCTGTAAGCTGCACAACGAAGTCGAAGCGTGACCCTCGTGATCGCAAACGTGGCGCTCCGTCGCTAGTTTCGGAGGCAACAAGGGCTTCTTACAGTTTGAATGCTTCCCCGATAGATGGCAGAGAGCAAGCACAAAATCTGATTCGATTTGGCTGGTGAGGAGCTATAAGCGTGAGAAGAGGACATTATAAAAAGCACTAACTTACATATGCAGACGAGGCTGAACGACGAGTCTGATTGATTCGCTGCGACAAAGGTGAGAGTCTATTCCCCAGTCCAACCAAGCTCCACAATCCCCATTCCCATTCTGTCGAAAGAAAGTTCATTTATTCTATCGATTATGCCGTGGTACGTATTAGCGGGGCAAAGCTTCTGCGAACACTGCAATTGGTTGTTCGCGGTATAGGGACGCGAGACACGCTGTGTATTCCTTCTTTACGCCTCGTTTTCTAGCGCCCACCGTTGATATAGTAGCTGTTAATGAGATGATAATGATACAATACAACATTCTTCCTAGCAAGGAAACTGCCATCATCCAAGGGAACGGGTTTGGTCATGTAGGGAAAGCTGGGGACGCTAGCTGCCCCCGATATAATTTTAATGCATGTTTTCTTTTTTCCCAAATATACAATATGATTATGAGTAATAATGGGCTCCGCAAATTTTAACCATCTTCTGTGCCTTATCACGCACTGATATGGCGCAGTGCACGCGCCCATAGCATTTCGCCTTCGACGAAATGCGATCTTTACGGTCAACACCTATAGCCCTCGAGCTTCGGGACGGCAGCCGAGCGACCACTTTCCCACCGTGGTGAACTAGCCTTGTTCACTCAAGTTATGGCTGGTGAAAGGCGCTTAATTCATTTAGGCTTACGATACACCAGAAAGTGTCAGCGAACACACATTGTGGTGTGAAGCGATTTCCTTCACACCACACGTGTGTTTCATTCGGCTATTCGGTCAAACATGGTAACAGGTGAAAACAGTGCAAACTATAAGACGAGAACGAATAACTAACAAACGGGACGAGCGCTGTCCTATGTGTTATTTCTCCAATCGTCTTTTCTAGTTTGCGTTGTTTATACATTTTATCCTTCACAGTACTTTTCAAATAAAACAAAATCTTCGCCACCATAGGACACGTTTATGGTATTGTTGGTGCGCAACCTAAAAAAGAAAAGATCGCGCAAAAAAAAACAGGAAATAACAACCCAAATAACACAGACGGTGACATGTGGACGAAGTAGGCCTATCTCAATGATCACTACAACCGACATTCAGTGGCTACTTCATGCCTTTTTTACTCAAATTCTCAAGAACTGAAAGTCACACTACTGCAAATTCCCGGCCTAAGCCGCCCGCAAAGGGGCCGGCTTCATTTTATTATTAGCAGAAGGAGTGTACAAACGAAACGGGCACCACATAATTTCTATCCAACTAGCACAGCCAACAGAAGACACGTTTTCAAAGTTAACTCAGCATGAGGTGATTCTGGTCAACATAGTGTAACACCTGTGGGTTCGCTTAGTCGCCCGATGATGAACAACCGAACCGGGCATACAATGTACCAAGCATCGAATGTGCGAGGCATCCTACGTCACTGTCAGCATCAATCTCAGAGGAGGAGATTGGGAGGGGGGGGTTGATTTTTCCCCCGAAAATTTTTGATTTCGCGTTGGTATATATATACACGCAGACCTACAAATACATGCTCAAACGTACTGAAGAGATGGCTTAAGGCCCCGCCCTACCACCAATTGCAAAAAAGGAACAAAAAAATGGGGAACCCTTAAGCTTCGCCTTTAAGAGTTGAACGCGATAGCGAAATATGGCCCCTAGTGTATCCTTCAACCACTAAGTGCATAGTTAATCATATGTTTTGTTACATGCACACGCCTACACACAAACACGCACATATTAGATTGGACCAGTGCGCGCTATTATCGCCGAATGGGCTCATTTTCGTCGTGACACCTGTCGAACAAAATGCGTTAAAGGGGCCCTGAAACACTTTTTCAAGTAACCATGAAATGAATTCACTAGATGCGCTTATTGCCTCACGAATTGCACGTCGCAAAAACTTTAAGAATACGTTTAGCGCGAGTGGAGGTACAAAGGTTTGTCGCGTGCTGCGATTGCATTATCTCTTCTCTCGTCCCGACGAAAGCGCTGGAAGCTTAGCAGGGAGGGACAGCACGGCAAAGAAACTACCGCGCCCCGTGACCTTGAGCCCTTGTTTTTCTTCGAATGCGTGGCTTTCTCAGTGTGGTCGCGCACGCACGCGTGGACCAGTAGCGGCCTCCCACGGCTATCTCGGTAACTTGATTTTTCAGTCACAGACGCACAGACGATTTTTCACTCACAACCAACGGGGCCGACGCCGGCGGCGGGTTTTCTGCGACACGAGCTCGAGCTCTTTAGCGCTATCCCGTTAAAAAATTCTGGCGACGGTGTTGTGCAACGCCGGCCCAAAGCCTTTTCTCTGTTCTTGTCTCACGCGGGTCTAGTTTCTGTTATTCCGTCATGTCTCATGTCTCATATTGCTGTCACACGGTGCCACTGCTGTCCACGGAATATATATATATATAATATATATATATAGATATATATATATATATATATATATATATATATATATACATATATATATATATATATATATATATATATTGGTGTGACATGGTGTACGACTGACCGCGATTAAGCCGGAATGCTATCATATATTTTCTGTTCAGTTGCTCAATTTTTATTTCAGTTTAAAACTTTTTTCTATTTCCTGTTAGCATTTTTTCGCTGCAGCATTTACATAAATAGAGTTGCCGAGGTATTGTAAACCTTAATTCCACAGCGAACTAGTTGGAAAAGAACAAAACCGGGATCAAACTTCTCAACAATGATACGTGTCCTAGTGAAGGTTGCGTAAAGGAGCCAATCATGACCCAGAAATTCAATCGAAATCCAGCCTAATCGCGATCGAAAGTGGCCCTGTGACACCCCTATCGCAAACGTGCCTTAACCGTCATCCAAGACAACAAACCATGCTTTTGGGAGCGCTTTGTCTGGGAAACGTCCACAGCCCCAGACTGTACTCCGAAATAACCAGCTCATTCTCGCACAGCATCGTCTAGAAAACAAAGACGTGAATGTCAGCTTTCAGTTTGTCCACACGCCCAAATGTAGAGAACGTATCGCCTCCTTTTCGACATTGGACGTGCGAAATGAAGCGAACGTGTGATGTACTGGAGTGTTGTGCCGTCGGAACGACGAAAAGGAGTAAATTAATTGAAAAAAGAATTTTGGGATCACTGTTGTCGCGTCGACTCTGCCACAGGAAACAAAGCTGGTCTACGCGGTTTTCTTTCTTTTTTCTGAATTCTAGCATAATACGTTATGTATGCGAACGGCTGCTTCGTCTACCTTTTATTCACGACACGGACAGGTGAATGTACCAGAACGTTTGTTTTGCACCGGAAGCAACATACTACTTTATTGTCCACTGGTTCTCGCAAAAACAGTGTGGTTCCTGAAAAGTGACAAAAAAAGAGAGAGCATGCTGTTTACGCCAGCACCAGCCGGCAGAAACCGGTCGGTCCGTTCACAGTGCTGTTTACGCCAGAACCAACTGGCAGAAACCGGTCGGTTCGTTCACATTTCAGCAATGTTTGCGGCATAACAAACATGTGGCTGAAGTATACAGAGTAGCGATTGGGTAGCGTAAGAAAGTACACACGAAATTAGCGAGTCTGGCAACGCAGGAATCATCAATAAATACGGCTGTGTTTCTACGTCATTAGATGGTCCCCTGACCCCAGATGCAACGAGCCTTTTTTTGCAGTTTCATGTTCATCCTAGGGCAAACGACGTGATACTTGTGAAACTTGCCAAGCAACGACAAATGACGTGCACAAAATAAGCGGAGAAAGGAGCCTGGGCTGGTTGATAAAACTTCATGATGTTCTGCAAGCTTTCCTGTTGGCTTATGCATCTCAGGATCATTTTATCATTCCATACGCTGCACCAGAACAAAATGGTGTTGTAAATATAGTTATAATACACTGTGGTGTCAGACCACGAAAAAGCGGCCCACGGTTACAACACCGATGTTGTGTAGCTGGATGCCTTCCTAATGGGTTATAAAATACAGCACTGTCCTAAACAAGACAGCAGGGCAAAAATGTACGGTGCAAGTATTTTTCCTGCGGCTATCTCACCCAGGAAAATTCATAGCAGATTTTTGTTTGATGCCAGGTATAAAATAACTCACGCAAATTAGGGTTTCCTGTCAGCGCTGCGAACAATTCAAGCTCACTACCAGTGTCCTCAGGTAATGATGCATCGCCCTTGTTTAGCCTGAAAATTGAGCTGGAGGAGGAGGAAAAACTTTATTAGACCAAGGGATTTGGGCACTTACGTCCCAAGCTGGAATTTTCACTTGGCAGCAGACAGTCTTCCTTGAACGCCTCATATGTTGTTTCGAGAAAGTTGATCTTGTTCATGGATAATGACCACCTCACTGCATAACCACTTATGCGTTAATGCGCGTTGCTAAATACTGTGCATTTCTTGTATTGGACCATCCATTAGTCATGTTGGCTCTGACGACTTGCTGATGTTCTTTTTGCTTGGAATATTGTCTTAGCAACAGGGAAAGCTGAAACCAGGTTTTTTTCTTTGCCTGAAAGGCAAATCCTATGACTATAAGTACTGGTCAGACGATTTTTTTTTTGTTTTGTTATCTATACCAGTTCCTGCATTATCGATCTCACTCTTGAAAGACATGTATCTTAAAAAATACAAGCGGTTACGCTACCAGAAAATGACCAATGAGTTGAAGGGATCCAGCCATGAGCCCCGAGAAATGAAAACCATTGATGAAAACCTCGAGAATGTATCAGTGGGCAAACATTAAATAACACGCGTGAAATACGTGAGACACTAGGGCCACGACACTGCCCACTGACCTATGCCTCGGCGGGGCACACACCGCAGGCACGCAGACCGGCCCGTCACCAACTGTCCGGCAGGCGCATCGGCTGCTCCTTTTGAACTGTACGATTGTGCCGCGCGCATCTCTGATGCGCAGCACGTGTTCTAGTTGAAGTAGCCGTGAAACTGGCGTGACTCCCACTAAATTAAAGAAGGCAAGTGCGCGGGTCAGAAAAAAATCAATTGTCATAGTCATTACCACGTATACCGTGCTATGTTACTGAAAAAAAAAAGTGAACGCACAGATGCCTTCACCCCCGTATTCTAGAACGTTCCTTCACTGAAGCTTCACCTTCACTTGGTTGGATGGATGGACGGACGGATGGATTGATGCGGCTGTACCCTTTAAACCGGGCGGCGACTAACGCCACCTAGCACCTGGGAGAACAAATGGAAGCGCCATCTCTAGGCACGGCAAGTCACTGCATATCAGCGATAATCTGCTGCAATTCTTTAGTTGCACAACGTCATTTTTAGCTGAGTGGTGGCGCAGTGCTCGACTCTGTCGAGTGAAGGGTGAAAGTCGAGTCCAGGAGCGTTTGTCAATACGGGGGTCAGTGTTCCACAAAGTCAGGCTCACAACACAAAATCCTAGGCTAGAAGATTCACTTTACTCAAACACATTTTATGCTCGACGCCAATGTATCTTCTGCATTCGTGCAAAAAAACACTTCTTTCGGGTACCCGTCTTTTCTTTTTTTTTCCCGTGGTGACAACTTGTGACCAGATATAGAGGGCTGCACTTGACGCCGAGTGTAGTCAAAGACGATGATTTCCCGTTGAGGTTTTGACATTGTGAGCATCCCACGTCATACAGGGCCAGATATTTGCTGAGCGATTTGTATCCTTTGTTCGTAAGGTTGTTCAGAGAGTTGTCGGTCACTGCGAACTGTCATGGCGTACTCGAGTAACATCCCACCACTTTTCCGCCTGTCGATGACTTCAATCCGTAGGTCGCTCTTCCCGCCCTGCTAGTCCAAAAGGTCAACAATTTCAGCAACAGTGACGGGAAACTCCCGAAATAAGCAAAAGGTAAAGATATCTAGGAGATTCTGTTGATAACAGCGACAAATTGGTATCGGAAGTAACGTGACCATCGGTAACTCATATTACTTTCGACGCGGAAGTCCCTCAACTTTAGAACTTTAGTAAAATGTGAAGTGATTTTTTTTTTAAGTTCATCACCCCTCAGTAACCTCTTGTTCAGAAGTGCGAGCTATAGTGGCTTCTGGCATGCATAGCTTCAATGGGTTACTGTCCTTACTATAAGGAGGTTTATTGAATAAAACCAACTGCCTGGTTCAATGGGCGTCAGTCACTGTCACGAGCTTAGCTCTTCGTCGTAGTCGTCTTTCAGGCTCTCTGACTAGATACTGTCTCTCTCCCTCTTCCCCACTACATTACTGCCATAGCGAAGATATTTCGGGGGGGGGGGGGAGGGTACAAGTGGGTAAACAAAAACATTTAAACGACTTAGAGACAATCACAAATGTAGCGTACAGTTAATACTATTATTTAAACGCAGAAATCAGACGCGAAAAAATTCGTGCGCATAGTTAACATGCCAGATATTACGTGTACAGCTGCGCAGAATGGCGCCAACTAATGTCTCGTGGAAATTCCACTAGGAATTTTCATATCACTCAGATTGTCTTTTGATTTCTGAGCTGAATTGTTTAACTAAAAAATAACTGAATTATTCATATTAGGAAACTTACCTCTGTTGTGAAGTAGAACGCTTGGTAACCGAAAACGTTCATCTGTGCGTGATAGACACAAGCTCTGAATTCGCACGGATTGGTGGGTGGGCCCTTTGGATCGCGTCTCACCAGCGCACACATTTTGTAGCCCCTACAAGGACAGCGTTGTGCAGGTGATATTACCAGATTCGTTGGATTCTGACACTTTCTCGCAGGAAGATGCAGACAAGAGGAGGTAGACAGAACACGCACTTGGGGCTACACTGGTGCACCTACAGGCACATCTTAAAATGTAACACAATCTATACCATGAAGCGAACATACTGCAACCCGCTTTATGACTGATCCATCAGAAAGAGCAAAATAACTGGATCAGCCATCCTTCGTTCGCTGTAACAAAAAAAATAAAAGCGTGAAAGGTGCTGACGGTATACAAGAGTGTAGGTACAAGAGATGAAGTTCCTATGATAAAGTCCTTGTCATAGGAATAAACAGGCATTTGTGCCTTGTTCTAAAAAATTAGTAGAGAATGCGGGCTTGTGTTTCGTCTATTTTTCATTCCTGTTTGCTTTTTTTCGTTTAAAACTGATTATGCATATACACAACTCGTCCAAATACTTGCAGTTATGAGACTCGTTCAACAACGATGCATGTTCAATTATGCGGAAGTCATTTAGAGTGTGTCACTTTTATGGCGCGGGAAAAAAAAATGTTGCGGCGGACGGCGTACTTGATACTCACGGTCGAGGGTATTCCAATGCTTCGCCAGCCACAGTTACGCGAGGTTCAGGATCCTCCAAATGTCCCCTCACAATGACGTCGAAGGAAAGCACTGCCTGTCCTCAGTCCATCTCGCTTTTGGCCGCTACGTTCTCAATCCTGGCCACTGCAGACCCTGCGGATCATTATGTTAAGCAAAAGTGTTGAACGATTTCGAGTACTTCGTACTCAACTATGGAGAGCAGTGAGCCGTCCATATTACAGGTATGAAACGATACTGCTTCATAATACATGTGTATAGAAAAAATGGTCAACCATTTCAAGCCACTTCGTACTCTACTATGGGAGACCATGAAGCCGTTCCGTGGGCCTCACACTTGATGGGGCCCTGTCGACAAAAATTCTGAAGGGACGAAGAAACTACTTCACGTAGTCCCTCATAGGAGGTCTGTTTGCCGCCTTGTAGAGTTGTGGCCGGGATTCGAAAGTTTTTCTGACAGATTTCGGCAGCGTCGTACGGGTAATATCCCACGAGGGTGAGTCTACAGAAATGCTGCTCTCAAATGTGCCCAACGCACATGGGCTTTTGCATGCGTCGTTTTCTGGTAATCTAAGCTATCTCGATACTGGGCTTGTTGACAATCAATCTTTTAATACATATGGATGTGGTCTTATATCAAGGTCACTTGTCATTCTAGTGAAACTTGGTGGGCAAGTTGGTGCATCTTAAAAGAAAATTATAGGACGCGAACCACCGGAAGAAAAGTGGAAACGGAAGAGCGCCCACTCACCACCAAATTTATTCGTGTCAAGTCACCGCAGCATGTCACAGATGCGTAAGACACAGCAATACGTCACATCGCACAATTGGACACCCACACTGCCCATGCTTGGATTTCAGAAACCTACCAAACAATCAAATCCAGCCGACCACAGTACCATCGACGTATCGCTAATACACCTATCTTTCTTCTTCCTGATGAGGTATGCTTCTAGCGTCTCTCGCTTAATCACGCCCTTGCTTCTGCCTATAATGATGATATTAGCAAATCTTGCCACACATCCACACGTGATGCAGTGCACTATTCTTGATCGAAAGATCATGCAATCTTGCTCAGTCGTTAACACATCAGGCGGGAAGCGACAGGAAAGTGAGATTTCGTAAGCCACTTCCATAACACAGGTGACGTAGGGCCTCGCATGCCTCTTGCCGCATGATGATGATGATGTGTAGGGCTTAATGGAGCAAGGGCCGATTGATGGCCAAAGAGCGCCATTTCAGTGAATGTGGACAATGATATGGTGCGTGGCTGTATAAGGGCCTTAAAATTCCTCGCGCTAACGCGGGTAAAACATAACTATTAAAATGATGACAGTGGCGTGATATAGATAGTAAAAATGGGTGACAAAAGGTCTTTTTAATAAAAGCATGTGTAAAACTATTTGGCACTAGCACAAATTCCTCATCAGTGCCCTTGTGTCCAAGGGCCGTGAGGCAAGTGCTTTTCAATGTAGCCACTGCAGCAGCAACCTCTCTTGAGAGGTCACGCTACGCAATGCCTGGGTATATTACGTGATAAAAACGGACATCTCTTAAAAAGCTAGCAAGGATTCATGAGTGAAAAGTGGTTCCCTACCGACGAAAATTTCAGGGTGTAATGGTATATGTTGTCGGTAGGGTAATGGAAAGTGTTGTCTTGTTAGAGTGTCTAATTGTTCACACTGGATTAAAATGTGGAGAACTGTTAGTGCTTCACCACATCTGTCACACAATGGTGGATAGCCACCGGACAAAAGATATAAGTGTGTCGTGTATGTGTGTCTATCCTGAGCCTCGTTAGTGTTACCTCTGTACGACGTGAATTTGATACTGGCCGCCAATGACCAAGGTGTGGCTTAATAACGTGTAGTTTGTTTTGCGTGAGTCTATCCCATTCGCTCTGCCAGCAATATCTGAGCTTTCGTTTGGGAGACGGTTTCAGATCAAGGGCCGGGATTGATATGACTGTAGCGGCAGTGCTTTCGTGGACTGATGCAGCAAGCTGATCCGCCATCACGTTGACTTGGATCTCACGGTGCCCTGGCACCCAGATGCCTCTTACCGCCGGGGCCAAGCACAGGTCCTCTTGAGATCTGTGGACACAGGCCCGACAGTTCTCTTGGCGCAGAAAACGCCACATTTACTTTATACCACTAGGCCATCTTTTCAAGTTGTATGCAACCTTATGGGCGAACGGTACAGCTATATACTGGCCTTTTTTTTTTCAAACCGCTGACATTCTTTCATTTCCTCTTTAACTTTTTAAAGCAGGGGATGAGACCCTGCCGCAACGATCGAGTGAGGATGTCTAGCTGAGAAAGGATATTGAGCTGAATTTTAGAGAAATTTCGACAACATGCGAAGGGCCTGCCTTTTACGCAGGAGCTACCTCCTAACGAAAAAAATTCTGTTTTTAGACTTCAATCCAACTGTGACGAAGGATCACATCTGCTGGGCCTATTGGCCTTGTTCGTGCAAAGTGCTGATGCCCTCTGATATAGCCCAATCCAAATAATTACCAATCCAAAATAATTAATAGAGGTATTACTTTTATGTGCTTGGAAGGCGCGTTGGATAAATCTTGCCCTCGTAGGATGCACGAGAGCTTTCACAACCATGTCGGTCGCCTATATTCAGCAGGGTATCCTCGCTCGGTCGTTGCGGCAGCGGCTCAATACCTACTTCAACAGGAACTCGCTCGCTGGTTTGCTTGCCGACTGGTTGTGCCCTCGCGATCTCCGACGACGGCGTAGCTCTGGCGGACTGGATTAGCCCTACGCCATCTCCGTCGCCGACTAGAGCTCTCGCCAGTGGTACCCCGCCCTCGAACTCCTACAACCGTGTCTATCTTTCCTTTTTTCTCCTTACTTCCGTCGCTCCCCGAACCTGCGCCTCGCTCTCTCCTTCCTCTCTCTCTATTTCTCTACATTTTAATCTTATCCTTTTATTCCCTTCTCTACCCCCATCCCTCGTGAGCTACTGTTAAGGTGTCCTCCCCCTGAGAGACAGTTACGGGGCTCACTTTTCTCCTCTTTTCGTTTAAAATCACTCCCCCCCCCCCCTACTTCAAGAGGATAAAGAGAAAAAGAAGGAATGTCAGCGGTTTGAAGCAAAGATCAGCAGTTGTCTTGTACACTCAATGTTGCACACAACCTTGAAAAGGTGGCTAATAGGTATAAAGCACCTGTGTTATTTTCTGCCCCCCCCCCTCCCCCCCCAAAAAAACTGTCAGACCTCGGCCCACAGATCACAAGAGGATCCATGCCTGCCCCCTGTGGTAAGAGGCATGCGAGGCCCTACGCGACCTGTGCGATCGGAATGGTTTACGAAATTCCGCTATCCCGTGGGAAGGTTCTCATCGGACAGACCGGCCGATGTGCACCCAATAGAGCGAGAGATCATGATCCTTCGATCAAGAATAATCTTTTGGCACTTTTGAATATGCACTGCAGCACGTGTGTATGTGTGGCAATATTTGCGAATACCACCATTATAGGTAGGAGCAAGGAGGTGATTGAGCGAGGTATACTAGAAGCATGCCTCATCAGGAAGAAGAAAAATACGTGTATTAGCGATACGTCGATGGTACTGCGGTCAGCCGAATGTGATATTTTTATACTTTTCTGACATAGCAACCCACAATTCTACCTGTGCATGCACGCAGAGCCTTCAACGACATTATTCACTGGCGTGTCCGACTGTGCGATGCTGTGTGTCACGCATCTGTGGCGTGGTGCACATTCCGCGGTGGTTTGGCACGGATAAATTTAATTGCGAGAGGACGCTCTTTCATTTCACCTTTTCTTCCACGGTGGTTTGCATCGTATAATTTTCACTTGTTATTTAGCGCTGCCACGTTCGACTGTTGCCTATATGTGAACACGAAACTGTTACCTGCACCCACCGCAGTGCTGCTCTGCTAAGCATTGAAGCGAAGTTGTGATTTCCGGCATCTTTAGGGCTGCGTTTCTGCGAACTAGACAGAACTGCTTCTTTTGCCTACATCGCCACCGCCCCCTGCATCTGTAGCTTATAACAAGGTTCGCTTGAATGGTTCACTCCAAGTTAAGCAGAATCCCTGAACGTTTGAAATTTATGAAAGATTCAGCCACGCACTCACCTGAGCACGGTTTCAGGGGATAGCGTTTGACGGTCGACACTGCTAAGCAGGAAGAAAACAGTGCAGCGATCAGGCCCAGAGCTCTCATCGTCAACGTGTTTCATGTGCGATGGAACGAAGGCTGAACGTAGGCCATGGGAACAGCGTGGCTGATAAAACTAGGTTGGAATGCAGCGGGGTAGGTGGCAGTCAAGCAGGTGCTGCTGCAGCAGGTGTTCGTGCTTATTGTTTATCACTGCTTTGCGTAACTGAAGCCGGAGTACGCGGAGTGGGTTCGCCTGTACCCTGGCTACACCTCGCCAAAAAAAAAAACACACGGGGCGTACAAGTACGCAGAAAATATAAATGATGAAAAGCAATGCAGCATTCGCAGGAACAGATCGGTGGAGCTTCGTGAAAAAAACTGTCAACCAGTCGGAGATCAGATCGATCACTGCGATCAAGTAGAACTCACAGCAGTAACGAAACAAAAAAGTAGCCAGTTATGTGCCTTGGACTGCGAATGTGCAAGAGTAATGATGATGAGGATGACTTTCATTGAGAAAGTCATCATAATGATCACTTTATGAGCGTCGTCAGAATCATTAATCGGTGTCGTACTTTTACGTTTGTTTGAAGAAAAGCATCGATGTCATTTTGTTTTATGTTATTTTTTATTCACTCTCCCTACAATCACTTAGCCAGAGTGATGCCTACTGCCACCGCAAACACTACTACTACAACAACAACAACAACTACTACTACTACTACTACTACTACTACTACTACTACTACTACTACTACTACTACTACTACTACTACTACTACTACTTCCATCTTATCAATGGTCGCCGCGCAAGCTCTGGAATAATCTTGTTTTACGAAGCCTTAGATGTCATGTTTCTTTATCGTCTTCTGTAACTATGGTAACTATGACTCAAAGCGAAGAATGGAGAAGCGATCCGAGATTGGCTTCGTGAAATTTCATTCTTGTGCTGCCGTAAATACCGAATGTGCGTCTAGCGTCGCCATGCTTGTCATCGCGTTTGTGGTAAACGCCTATGTTTCATTCTGCATCTTGTTTCATCGAAATAAAAGCGCGTAGCGCACATGGTGTTGAACTGTGGGGGTCATTGCATACGTTGCCGTTGTGTTAATGCCAAGGTGATGCAAGCGGTTAAAGTGGAGGTGACTAAAAGTTGTAGGAGTTTTTTTTTTTTCTTGCTTCGACAACTTGCACATTATGGTGTTGCTATGACCCAGTCAGCCCCTGAATAATAAACTTTTTCTAAGGGGACCCAGTTTTGCTGAAACAGGGGCAGCTACATCCTGCAAATGTGTGTGTGCAAATGTGTGTGTGCGAATGTGTGTGTGCGAATGTGTGTGTGCAAATGTGTGTGTTTGATGTGTGTGTGTACGAATGTGTGTCTGAGCAAGCGAGAGGGTTTTCTCTCTCCAGTGAATGCGAGTGATTTGTGTGCCAAACTTTGTTTTTACAGGTGTGTGCAATGCATCTTTGATGTGTTTTTTTTCACGGGACCCTAACTTGATATAAACAAGTGTTTACTACGTAATACGTGCCCGCAATACAGCGAGAAAAACACTTTAGGCAAAGTTAGGTGTTCCTAAAAAGGTATCGCTAAGTATGATAAGTGTCTTGAAAAACGAAACATTTCTTTGTTCCACTCAATAACAGCTTTAGCTGCGTCGCTTCAGTAACGATCAAGATCGATGCAACTAGTCGTGATTGATCGTGATCGCGGTGTTATATAACACGCGTCATTTTGTGGTCTGAAGAACCTCGTGCGTTTTTCTTATACAAGGTGTTCATGTATCAAGCGTAAGAAAAGCGCTTAGGCAATGGGGACTTCAACCTGACACACAATTCTGAGCCGGTTGAAATCAATTCCGTTAAGATGACACAGATACGCCTACAGACACATGTCTAATTAATCACACACACACACACACACCAGATGAAGAAAATTCACTTTAAAACGCATACAACATTGCACATTTTCCACGCCTGGTTTGCTTACTTTCGTACTCCGTTATGCTAGCAGATTCTGTTGATTGCTTTTCTATCACGCCTCGTCCGCACCACACTTACATAATTCATATGGGTGCACAGCGCAGCGCATATCGCAAAATCTCACCACTATTCCCACGCTGCGTCACCCAAGTAGCACACTCCCACACAAACATTTGGCAACGTTGATGTCATAGCTTTTGTGAGCGGTAAATCACAGACGAGCACATTCCACAAAACACAGAGGCACACACTGAGACTTCACGTTCACCTTACTGCCCATGAATGACCATGACAACAATCGCCGAGAGTGATCAACCACAGGCGACATGCTTGGTGGATGCGAGCGACGCAGAGAATACACGCTGTGTTGCTGGTTCACGTTGCCGAAACGAAGGAACGTGATAAGGCTCTGCCACTTCAGTGCCCTTCAAACGCTACGAAATCGGAAACCCCATCGAATTAATGACGGCCGGCGAGGATGACGCTGAGTGCAAGTGGATGAAATAGCCTCTTCTAGATGAAGAAAGCAGCACAAGAAAACTGAATGGACGCCTGCCGGTTTCCATGGAGTGGTACATAACCTCTAGTCGATAACGGCGTCGTGCTGAATTTGTCATTCGCTTATCTTCACTGTTACGTCATAGTAAAAAGTGACCTCCGTTGTACGCGCATAATACAAATGAACAGCGGTGCACTTTACCATATTACTCTTTATTCATAGCTTGTCACTGAATACATATTGTATCGCAACGGCACTCCGCATTCGCTTGTTTAACTGCCTACGCAATATGTAGGTGGGTCATCAATTTATTGATTCACATGGATATTACGTAGCATTTTCTGGAAATCAATTAGCCGATGATGCAGCCCACTCAGCCCATGAAGGGACAAGTTTATTCCTGATTCTTCTATCAAGGACTGATGCGGCAAGAAAGCTCTACTTGCTGACTCGAGATCCCACACGCTCGTTTTGGTCGCCTACCAGCTTCCAAAAGTGTCGCTTACATCAACTGGATCCTTCGCTCAAACAACAGCTACCATCACAACTTTCTCGCTTCCATGCGACACTTATGCCCCCTTTGGTTGGTTGTTGCATTCAAAAAGGCGTACTCATTTCCCATCGGTATGGTAGACACCTATACATGCGACTCCTGCGTAGCTGAAGAGACCATCCAACGCGTCCTGTGCGGCTGCGTTTGCTACGACACCCAGCGATTCCCGCTCCGGATGCTTTTTAAGCAACTGGACTCTGGACCATACTCTGTGCGAAAGATTCCGGGACCTCAGGCATGTTCCTCGATAGCGCAGAAAGCGACTAAAGCGCTGGTGCACTTGAACACAGCAAACCTGAGCAACCCCCTGTAGACTGCATGTGCTCCCCTGAGTGTGCGGTGATTGTGTGTATCTTTCTTCCCTCCGTCCTATATCTTTTCTCTCCTCTATCCCTTCTTCCAGTGCAGGAAGAAAAACAAGACAGGTCGATGAAGGGTGGCGGGATCACTCGGGATGGCCGGACACTTTCGGGCTCGGGCAGACCCTTCGGCACAGCACGATTTCCCGAAGCTGCAGCTCTGTGCACAGAGCTGCGCAGAGCGGCCTCTCATCACTCCTTGTGTTCCGACCTTGGGCACGGAGACTTGGGTTTGTCCTATCAATTTAAAAAGATGCGGTTAAAATTGACCTTTGTGCAAGGGCACAAAAATGCTGTGAGGATAGGTTTCACCATGAGTTATAATGAAGTGAAGGAAAATAGTTGTGCCCCTGTGGCCATATCAAGCTTGCGCCACAACACCTGGTCACTTCTGGTAAGCGTTTATACAGCCGGAAGGAGGGGGGAAGAGTTGTTACGTTAGAAGAGCATTTCTGTTAATGTGACACCGTGGTCGCTGGGGAAGCGATCCCTGGTCCTGCTAAGCGGAGGTAGGTCGCTTCCAGGCAGGTTGACTAGTGCTCGGGCTTGGGTGCGAGCGGCCGTATGGCCTGGATGTCCCCAGCGTCCACTTGCACGAACGAGTGAGATGTGAAACACCCGATGGTTCCCTAAACTGCTGCTCTATAAAATGCAGTGTACTACTCCGGTGCTACATTAGCAGGTCTGTTGAGACTTTTAGCTAATATTTTACAACTTATTCACCCATTAGTTTCACCTCGGGTAGAATTGGATTGTCAGTATCGGCACTGACGTTGGAAACGTTCTGAGTAGCTCGACAGTGCTCCGTTTTTTTGTGTGTACTATTTGTGCTGGTTTTCTAGAAAACAAAACAGCATGTGCGTGTCTACATGAAACCTACAGTTCAGCTTTTTGTTCATTACACTTAACTTCATTTCCTTAAATTTCCCCTTAAGGGGTTTTACATAGGGTTTGTGTTTCTCAAAACGACATCCGAGTGTTTCTGACAGTTTCATAAATTATAGATTGGCCAATGACGGCAAAAATGGCCTGATGAAGGCCGTTACAGGCTTTTATTGCGCGTATAAAAAAAAGAGGCGCTGCTTGACTAAAGGCTTCGTCTCTGCTGGAAAAAAAATAGTTGCATTGTAAAGGCCTTTAGGTGGATAGAAAGATATGACACTCAAATCCTGGAATGTACTGCAGCACACAGGGACTACGTACACGTAAGCATCATTTTTATTGTGTGCTTCAGTAGCGTCACAAACCATTCGGATATGTAGTAGCTGCAGTCGCCATGCTTATGATTTATCACGCAGCTGCGCAGTGTTGCTCAACACTGTGACGCTTGTACTTCAGCGATCCTGACTTAGTGAATCATGATGTCACACAGCTTTTGTAAGCAAGTGAGTAGTGGGCTCGTGGTATGCTGTGCTTCCACCGCTGATTTAATCATATGTCAACGAAAACGTCACTGTAACAGCTATAAAACTAAACTACGGGGTCGTGGTACTTGTGGGGTACTAAGGTCCACTTATTCTTCCACATAAACAGTGAAGTATACGCAATCGACAATTTCCCCTCCGTTTTCAATGCTGAACGTGACCACGACGTGGCCGTCCTGAAAAGAAACGGCAAAGAAAGAAATAAGCGGGACTGGGTCTTTTATAGGTCACTTTGGGAACAGTCACGTATTCAGTGTACGAGGAACGTATTTCTTCGCCCCTTACAAATCTGGCGCACTCTAAATGCGCCACTGCGCTGCGTTAACACTGCCATAATGTCGCAGATAAAAACCGGGGGAGCGCAG